AGAAAAAAAGTGATAACAAATAGTGGTTAGAAGATATATGAAGATGTAATTAGATACCAGAATAGTAATTAATACCTTTTTGTGATGGGTAAAACATCATTTTCTAAAAATGATGTATGTTTTTTTGTACTTATAAGAAATAATGGGTAATATATGGACAAACTTTTCATCATAGAGTCATTGAACTACATTTTTATGGAATATAAAAAAGTTTTTTTAGATGATCTACCTATAATATTAGTATCAAAGAGACGAGTAGATCACAAGATTGAGTTAATATCTGGAATTACATTAATTTGCAAAGCTTCATATTATGTAGTTCCAAACAAATTGGAAGAATGCAAAGCTCTAGTGGAGTAGATGTTAAACAATGAACTCATTCAACCAAGTGTTTCATTGTATGGAACTCCAATGCTATTTGTAAAGAAGAATGATGGATCCATGAGACTATGCATTGACTACCAAGGATTGAATCAGTACACAGGAAAAACAAATATCCATTATTTTGAAGAGATGATTTGTTTATCATCTTCAAGAAGCAAAGTACTTCATCAATCTAGATTTTTAAAGGGGATACAATCAAATTCAAATTGCAAATAAAGATGTCAACAAGACTGCTTTTTGTACTAAGTGTGACCACTTTGAGTATTTGTTGATGCATTTTGTTCTCACTAATGCACCAACAACCTTCATGGAATTAATGAAATATATCTTTTATTCTAATCTAGATAAATTTGTCATTATTTTTCTAGATGATATATTGATGTATAGCAAACTTTGAGTGATTATATATGTTATTTATGAGAAATAATTTAAGTTTTGAGAAAAAATCAATTATATGCCAAAACTTCAAAATGTGATTTTGGTAAATCAAAAGTAATTTACTTGGATCATAGAGTTACAATCGCAGAAAGTCAATTAATGAATGAGAAGATAAATGCCATTTAGAAATGTAGAGTAATTAATGATCAAACTTGATTGAAAAGTTTTCTAAAGTTCACAAAATTCTATCCTAGATTTGTGAAAGGTTTTGCTCGCATAATTCAAGCATTGACTTCCATACAAGTAAAAAGTAAAAAATGTAAATAGTATGCAACTCAAGAGTTAGTTTTTTAAGCATTGATATATAGTTTGTTACACGCACTTATACTTAAATGATATGATACTAACCGTCTTATCAAGCTGGCCTGTAAGACCGGGCGTTGCACATATGTACTAAGTCCTAAAAGTGGTCAAGTGATTAAGTACGATTAGCCAAGGCATAGCTAAGTCTAGCAAGTTATGACTAAACTAGTTAGTTATAACTAAAATTATCTAGTCATGACTAAGTTTGGCTACAATGTCTATAGTTGGCGGATTAAGTAGCGGAGTTCTAGAAGAGTGGAGTGAGCATTTCTATTTTTTTTTTTACAAGGAGTGAGCACTTCTATTTTGTCTTATACAAAAGTTCTAGATTCCAAGGGATTAGATATTTGACTTAAAGCTTGGATATGATTGGTTAGACTAAAATGTATGAAAGATGATTGGCCAGACTAAGTCTAGTGTTGACTTAGTGGCTAAGAAGCTTGTAGAAGTTTAAAAGTTTGCAATGGCATGTCGACACCTCAACCTTGGATTCCGAAAACTTCTAGAAGGTTTAGCTAGACCAATGGCATGTTGCCACGTAGAGAGTGTTAGTCAAACTTACCTAGGTAAAAGTAAGTTAGGAGAAATTACCACATGTTACTATGGTAACTTCTCAAGTAGTATAAATAGAGAGTTAGAGTAGCACCTCTCAAGCAATTTTGGAGAGTCATGTGTGAGGACTTGTTTCAAGAATGAAGAAGTGAAGTTTTTGAGTATCTTGGAGTGTCGACGTGTGTTTGCGTTTATGTGAAGAGAGTGATGTGAGGAGAGTTTGTGTGTGAGTTGGAGTGATACATGGATAGTTTGTGAGAGAAGGTGTTTGGGATATTAGTGTGAGGATGAATCATAGTCTTTTAGAACCATGATGCGCTACCGCAAAGCCATCAGAGGTAAACCTGAGTGAGAGTCAGCCCGGAGGTTACAGGCCACTTACGCATTAGGTACTGTAAGACCAGATATTGCATGTGTGAAATAAAACTAGAATTAGCCAAGGAGTTAATCATGGTTAGGATAATTATGACTAAATCTAGCTAGTTATGACTAAATCTAGCTAGTTTAGGTACAATGTCTATACTTGGCGGAATAACTAGAGAAGTTCTAGAAGATTTGAGTGAGCACTTCTATTTTGTCTTGTACAAAAGTCTAGATTCCAAGAGAAAAGACTTTTGAACTTCATGTTTAGTTTTGATTGGTTTGACTAAAGTAACGAGTATTCCATTGGTGAGACTAAGTCTAATGTTGACTTAGTGGAAAGTGGAAGTTCTAGAAGTGGGAAAGTCACAAATGGCATGTCGCCACCTCAATCTAGGGATTAGTAAACATCTAGAAAGTTTAGGGGGCCAGTGGCATGTTGCCACATATTGATAACTAGTCAACCTTACTATGGTTTATCTTCGTAAAAGTAAGTTAGATAGAAATTACCATTTGTTACGATGGTAAATTCTCAAGTAGTATATATAGAGAGGTAGGGAAGAGCCTCTCAAGCAAGTTTGGAGAGTTCATATGTAGAGACTTGTTTCATATATGAAAGAGTGACGAATTTTCAGTACCTTGGAGTGTCGATGAGTGTATGAGTTGGAGTGATACCTTGAGAGATTGTGTGAGAGGGTGTTTAACTTATGAGTATGATGCGGAATCCTAGTCTTCTAGAATCATGATGAGCTACCGAAAAGACATCTGAGATAAACCTGAGTGAGAGTCAGCCCAGAGGTTGCAGTACAACGGTGAGTGACATACTTCAACAAGAATGGGAGTATGGATGATATACACTTGTTTTTTATTCTCAAAAGTTGGTGGTGATGGAACAAAATTACCACTCGTTATTGTTCCATAATATGATGTTCACTGTGCTCTTTCCTCACTCTTCTAAGTAGACTTCTAATGAGATTTCAAGTTGTAAAATCATGTTTTTTTCACTTAATATTATATTTAAGAAGCACTACAACACAATGTGAGAAAACTTCCACAACGAGCACGGCATTGCGAATGTCAGTGAGAAATGAGTCACATCTTCATAAACCTCATACCTTTCACAAGATATACACATGTGTAGTTTTGAGCATATTTGAAAGTGATACACTTGTTTTTAAAACAAACTTTGTGAATTTCACATAGGAGTCGGAATGTACCATGAATCTTTTGAAGTTCATTGTAGAGGAGTACATCTAGTAGTATCAAAGTCATGTGAGTACGAACTCTGATTCATGTATAGATTGTGATAGATAATGTAACTTGTTGTACAAAAGACTAATGTGTAGCAAAAATGTCTGGAATAAATCTCTATCCCTCACATTTTGTTGTTTCTATTTTTCAAAATATAATTTATCAAAATGTTTTCAATAAGAAGATATGCATGAAATTCAAAATCAATTTGTGCGCCAGCACATTCCCAAACAATTGATGATGTTGGAGTAAACTTGCCAAGAGTCACTAAAGCTTTTGTTTTGTCATTTTCTTTTAATGATAGAATAGACATTCTAAACCAAACTCAACCAAAGGAAAGCAAATTTTTGGAAGTGTGATATATCAAACTGTAAATTTCAAAGAAGGGAAACTAATACATCTAGGCAAAAAATATCGGAAGAATAAGACATCATTTTGTTTATCTGGCATGACATTGTGCTTTTAGTTATAAATTCGAGGTTCTATGTGATATATCTGAATAGACTTGTGATTCCGATCATGGTAGTTTCCCATCTCAAGCTCTTCGTTGCAATTATTTACTGCAAATCGTTTCAAACAAAATTCTCCATGCGATACCATAGAAATCTTTCAAAATTTCCAGTGATTTCATGTAAGTTAATGCTGGACAACATTCAGTGAACAAGATGAGATTTTTAGACGGTAAAAATACTAGTCTCGTTCATGTAGTGAAATGTGCTCGTGCCTCCACCCACGAGGAAGTCAAGTTAGAAATGAGTGGCAGGTGACGTTTAACAAAGAGAAGAAAACTAATGGAAGCAAATAGTATCGCGATTCGCAGGACACAACTATGCCAATAGAGGACAGTTGGGACATGGTATGACGAATCGCACCGCATCGATGGCTGCGATTTGAAAGGTACGCCGTGTGGAGCAACACTCCACTCGCATCGTGCATGAGCTTCTGAACTGAAAAATTCGAGCCGAATGTCGGTGGCTCAGGATTGAACATCATCGTGACTGCGTTTTCGAACGAAGAAAAATGCGACTAGCACGAGAAATTGTGATGGCCATTACTGACCTTCCACCCCGACTTACCACTAATTGCATTCTTCATTCGTCAGCTGCAGAAGAACGGGCGCCTGTGTATATCGTCCAGGGACTGAACAAGTTCGAGCAAGAGCAAATTGAGCTATCCTCGTGAAGCCATGGATCGTCGCTCGAAGAATGACGGTCGAAAGAAGGTCAGTCCTCTTGGTTCCCCGTCCTAAAATGCATCACGGAAGCTTTCGAAACCTCTAAAATGTCGAGTTCCTCCTTTCAAAGCTTTGAGAAATCGTCCGTACTTTTCAGTCCACGCCCTCTCCGTGAGCTGGCCAAGGTGGTAAAGTATATACGAGGGAACTGTTCATTCCCAGCTCCGATACTGGTGCTTGCTCTCTCACTCCTTGGACAGAACTATAAGTTCGTACGTCATCATGATTTCCACTGTAAATTGATTTGTTGCGATTTTTCTGTCGGTCCGAGATGAGCTCTGATGGAACTGGCTAATTCTGGGCTCCAAATTTCGCCGGTGGGATTGGAAGCGAAGGGTCTCGGTGGAAGAGAATGCGTGGGGTTTCAACCGGAAATCCACGAACGGACTGTGATTTGGCGAAAAACCAATATGTCCTGCCTGGACTGTCTTGCTGTGATTGTGTGGTCATGTGAACGAAGGACAATATGGGTTAGGGATTTTTCTGAGCTACCGTGTGGATGGGTTTTCGGAGTGGACTGAGGCTGTTGTGGATGTATTAAGACTGTTTCATCTTAACCACTGGGCTTGAGTTTCTGAAGCAGAACCTGCTTCATAGTGTTTCGCGGTTTGTGATTCTTTTCTGTTCGGTGGTCAATCCGCGCTACGGTGAAGCTTTTGATTCAGTTTCAAACTTACTGTGGCGGTGGATTCTGCTTGAATCGCTCCCTGCCACCACCATGCTGTGGAGCAATTTCCTCCGGTTTAATTCACTTGAAGAATTTGGAGGCAGTTTATGCACGGCCAGGCAGCCGCTCTGTCGTGCATCTCTGCACCGAGTTTTGATCTTGCAATCTCGGGAATCACGGACATCGTTATGACTCCGGAAAGTTTTTTCTGCAAGCTCTTTGCATCTGCAGGGGCATGACATTAGAGATCATGACTTTGAATTCTCCATTCCTCATCATATGATCGCCTGTGGGATGCTCCGAATACCGAAATGCTGCCGAGCCCGTGGGTGGACAACATTTCCAGGTCATTGGGCGAGATGCAGCAGGGACTCAGAAACTTTGCACCTTCGCTGTTTGCGGGCGTAAGAATCAACGGACCTGAGATTAAAGCTCTTCTCCAGCACATTCGACTCCCCAGTTTTCTTTACAAAGACACGCAGTGCCTTACTCTACAAGATTTCAGTGCGAGAAATGTACTTGCTGATTTGTTTCACCCTTAGCATGCACCGATGAGAGCTGTTTGTTAGAATCTGTCGATAATAGGCACGCAGCAACCATCCAAACTGAGAAAGTTTTACTTGTTAAACGGAGCGACATTGCCTGTCCAACAAGGGTTATGTCTGTAGAGGGAGGAGATGTGTACAGCGAATGATGGACGTAGGATCGCGTTCAATTCTGATGTGGAATGTAGTTTTTGTTCACTGTTGAACCACTGCAATTTGCTCCAGGAATTCGCAGTGATTGAGATATGCAAGGCCTTTCTGGTCTCAGGAACTGAGACTTGTTTTTTCTTGAAGCAGGGTGAGGCATGGCTTGCGGCAGCCCTCGGGCTCGCAAATTTTGTGCCGGGGTTTGTCATGGGATTCTTGATCGGAGTGTTGGTGGAACTTCCAAAGGGCGGAAAGTCTGAGCCTGCAGATGCCTCCTCGAAGAAGAGGTTGACTGGAGGCGGAGGAAGGCGGGGCCTGCGAGGTAACACTGGAACCTTCCGACCTAGTCACAGCGCCAGCACTGCTGCTGAAGAAGAAAGTGGGGAGCTGAAAATGGTACGCTCTTCATGTCCTTCTCTGGCCTTTAGGGCAACCTCATTTCTCCACGGTAAAATATGTATGATGAGTTGTAGACTGAAGTTGAGCATTGAGTAGAACATCTAGGATGGTTGTCTGCCGGGTAAATAGAATTGAGAATGCTGAAAGCCACCATCGTGAAGTGCAAATAAGAGAGGACGAAGATAGCGATGCAATCATCATCCAGGACTGGTTACGAAGTCTGAGAACTTTGCTCTAGATATGTATCTTCTTTAAGTAATAGATCTGCTATTTCGTACCGGAGAAGCACTTAAAATTAGAGCTTTAACCTGGAGTTCATCAGCATGGGCTGTCTGCAAGGTCATGTTCAGTGTTTGGATACAATTGTCACTCCACATGCTTAGTGCTACCTATTACGTTTCGGTTAATAGCTGCTCATAATATGACATGTACATGCAAATCTTCAAGAACATCTTGAAATTTATGGACTCAGAGATGCTCATCCATGCGTCTCACGTATCATCGGTTCTTGGTGCCGAGCGCAGGTATTTGTTGTCCGTCAAGACCTAAAGATGGGTGCTGGAAAAATAGCCTCGCAATGTGCACGTAAGCTCTTCATCTACCATAAGGTTTGCCTTTGTCCTTTTCTTTGCTAGTGCAAGTAGCACTGCTGTTCTTAGAACCAGTTTTTTTATTCTGTCTGATCCGGGATGAAGTCTTCCTTGTTGTTGATGAGACCGATGAGGCTATAGACGCGTTGGAAACTCGCAGGGGAGGGAGAGTTGGAAAGATAGATCTGGCGACCTTGCCTGGTACTGACACTTCGGGCTGCTCTCTTGCGGACCGCCGATTTTTTGGATAGCGTGCCAAGAGTCTGACAGTTTGGATTGCTTCTTACAGATGCTGCTGTTGGGACTTACGAGGAATGTTTGAACAGGTATGGAAATTTCATCATACTTGATGTTGATGAATTTTGAATTCCTGGGAGCTTATACCGTAAATACAGCTGTGACTACATGTCTTTACTGCTGGTACCAGTTTAGCATTTCACTTATGACTTTGTGTTTTGATGTCGCAGGGGGCAACGACTATTGCTGAGAAAATGGGAGGATTGTGGGCAACCCAAGATTGTTGTAACGTGCAAAAGTCAGCATGAAATGTAGGTCTACATGCTTGCCAGTTGTTCATGTTGAATTTTGAACTCAAAATGTCTTTAGGTGTAACATCGTCACTGACAGATTTTAGATTATTCGGAATGTGTTTTTACCAAAGTGTACATGTAGCTGCACCGACCAGCCGCGCTACAAGAGGTGTTCTCACTTCACAGTTGAAGAAACAGTCCAAAATACCCCAGATCTACAACTTTGTAACCAGAAGAGCTTGCATCTCATAGGTTCAAAACAAACCCAAAACCACGCCCTCTGGCTCAGCCGCGCTAGTAGGAACAAACTGGGAAGAAGAAGAAGAATGGGATGAAGAGGTAGGCAGGAAAAAGAGACAGGACTACCTGATACTTAGGATGGTCTCTACAAGTCATAATAGGACGTCTCTCAAGTCTCCTTATTGATGCTCGTAGTACCTTTGAGTCGATACTATGTCTGCAAATTTAGTAACAAACAGGCTAACACAGTGTGGTGAATCTGTTATCGCACGACGAAGAAACGACGTACAGCCTCTCAGTGATGAGTTTGCCTGATATGCACAGATTTCAAACATTATGAGTATTCTGGAGTACATGTCTTATTCTCAGATGCATCCTTTTGTGGATATTTTTCCTGTACAGGAATGAGCTGCGAGCGAAGGCCGAAAGGGCTGGCTTGCCTTGCTTCACGGTGGCTGATGCGGGCCGAACACAGGTATGTTCACCGGAATGTGCGTTGGGGGACAAGGTTAAAGGAGTTTAACTTCTCTTTTCACGGGTGCTTATCTTCAACTTATTCTTAGAAGCCGAGCTCAATGTAGTCACGTTTGTAAGACGTCATTCACTCTTGTTCCACTGAGAGATAGAGGTTTCATCATGTTCCTGTAGTTTGGGCTTGCTTTCTCATCCGAAATTTCCACTTCTATTGCCAGGTAGCTGCAGGGTCCAAGACTGTGCTTGCGATCGGGCCAGGTGAGAGCTTCTCACTGTCTTGTGAGAATTATTCGTCGAGATTTTCGAATAGAACATTCAGCAATCGTGAACGCTCATACGAAGCTTTCATGATCTTGCCAGCAGTGTAATTTGCACTTCGTAATTGTTTGAACTCTAGAGCTCTGGTCCGGTCCATTTGCTGAATCGGGCGATCTGTTAGGACTGATCGGTTTCGTTCATCTGTGCAGGAGCGAAGACAACTATCGACAATGTCACTCGACATCTGAGACTTTTGTAGCGGAGGACGCTTGTTCCTATATGTAAAAGACCTTATGATCTGAAGTTAGTAGGAAGTTTTAAGTATTCTATACTTCATGATTTTGAATGTTTGTAAGTGAGTAAGGCTTGCAGGTACAAGTCATACCATGCTTCAGTGAGATAAGCGTCAGCATCTTGTAGGTAGTTACAGGAGAGTACTGCTGCGCAGTGAGATTCTGCGGGAAAGTAAATCAGTCACACTATTTAGTAGATATTAGAGATGAAGAAAAGACCGTATCGGGTAGTGGTTTTTTCCATACTAGCCACATGCCATATCATGTCCTTATGAATCAAGGTAAATGAAGGAGGACTTGCCAATTTTGAGGACGTTTTGAGTACATGACAGGATCCAATCGGCTGGAAATTCATTACAGCATGTGCTTATTGACGACATTTCAATTTATTTCTGTTTGTTCCGTTTGCATTTCCTTTCCTATGAATTATTTACCCAACCGATCTTTAGGATGTTGTTTCTAATATGACAGGTATGTAGGGGCTGTTCTTGGTTCGTATTTTGACTCATACGAGTTCATTCCTTTTGCTCGGAAATAGTGAAGGCACTGATTAGTGGTGTGTTTCTCTGAGCTTCCCTCGTAATTTTCAACCACGTCGGTTGATATGATTCGTGGTGTGGAAGACAAAGCTTGGTGGAAAGAAAGTCCAGTGCACTAGTCTCTGGTGGTCTTCAGTTCAGGTCGAAGAAATGCTTTCAAGTGCTAACGAGTGTGAACGCTTTGCAAAGGCGGGTTCTTAATCCACAGCCTTAAGTGAATATCATTCCGCTGAAGCGGTAATATGTTATCGGGCCTCTTAATGCTGACGACATTCACGCCCATCGTCTATATCTATTTTTCATTTGTACCGGATCCCGGGTTAAACACGACCGACATTACACTTGGGAGGATTAGATCGCTCTGATTCAGAGCTTTTCCACGGCTCCGTTCTTCAGTATTTGTTGGACTCGTTAGTCAATCCCATCCGCGTCAAAGTCTTTGCTTCAATTCCTGTTGCTAGATCTCGAAGCCAATCTTGGAGCGATTTCCGTTCACAGCTTCACAAGAACACATGAGGTTCGAACCACAGAAAGAAAACAATGGGGATTTCGTTTTGTCATCTGCCTCTCGTCAAGCATCGAGGAACGAGGGCCAGGTATAAGAGCACGACGTCGACATGACTAGCAACTGTCACACACCTACTACGGAGATCCTCGTACTCATGGTCGGATCGCTGTGAACTCCATGAAGGGAGTAGAAACATTCTTAAAGCCTTGTGCAGGTTTGAGTCAAATGCAAGTCACGGATAAAAGGAGACATCGAATGAGAAAACTGAAATGAAACGTGTGTGGGGTTCCACGTAATGTTATGTTTCTATGAGCTCATGTTAATAGGACACGGAAGCACGATATCATGCATAGTTTCAGGCTCCTTTTCGTGGTAGAAGACTGAATAGAATGGAGTGGAAAAGCCAAAACGAAGTGTGTGGACATTTGTCGGTCAATTAAGATAGGCCACAGTCCTTGGCAGATAGGCGGAGGGACTTGAAGGTGATTCTGCGTCCTCAACGCAGAGCGATCCAGTGTAAGAAAGCCCCTGTTCGTTGTTCTGCGGAGCCTTAGGTGGTGGTCCCCATGAGAATCTGAGAGGCTGAGGTTGTGGAAAGGTGGAGCTCGCCTGCTTCTGTTGGCTTCGGTTCTCCTCGATTCTGGCATGCGTGTGGCGTTGCCCGTCCAGTTCTTGCCCAGCGGGACGTAGAGGAACACACAGCCGAGGCAATTCTTTTCGGCATTTGGGAATCCAAATCGAGCAGGTGCAGGTGTTGGTTTAGAGCCTTTGGTTTGCTGCTGACAAAAGAGGAGCAGCAGCAGCTATGGTGGTGGCTCTGCCAACTGGTTTGGCAATGCAAGTGCCACCAGCATTTCAAAGTCTCAATGTCGGGAATGCGAAAGTTGGAGGTGTGTCTGCTGCTTCATCCGTCATTCCACGCGTGCACACCACGGCTAAATTTTGCGGGGTGACCGAGTTCATCTACAAAGAGAATTCCGGTATGTCGAGGAAGAATGTCGTGCTGAGGCGCACTTTCGGTCAGTGGACGACAAGCAAGCTGCAAGGAGACGATGAATCGATTCAGAGAGATGTGCTCGTCGCAAAGTCGGTCTCAGTGCGTGCAGCAGATGCAGAAACACCTGAAACCGTCGAACCGAATGCAAGAACTACGAAGCAGTGTCGACCTTGCGTCATCTTGCCGGTAAATGGTTCTCTACCGTCAATTTGCGTATGAGGCTACTTTTCAGACCCGTCGATCTCTTTTTACGGAATTTATGCCACAAGTTCGTCTCGGGACACTACGTCCACGGTCAGTCGATAAATCGTTCCATCCTTTGATATCACGTTATCGCTCGGAACGTGCAAATTTCACGATGTGAGGTTATGGTGGTCGTGTATTCACATGAATGCTGAAGCTAAACACATGAATTTATTTTTTGCGATGACTAATCGAACATTAAACATTGAACTGTCTTGGAGTTATTCTCTGGTCATACTATTAGCAGATAGCTGGTGACAAAGTGTTGGAATTCCTTGTTAATGGTTCAGAAAGATATTGCTCGTTACCTTTGGCTACGTTTTCATCCAAATAGTAATACAACTATATATTCAGATGTTCGTTTGTGGGTTCAGGGTCTAGGGAATAACACCAGTGATTATAATGCTCTGGTCTCTGATCTTGAGGCTCGGAATGTGTCTGCTACTGTTGTTCAAGTTGCTCGGGCTGATTGGCTGCGAAATGCTTCTGGATTACTGGACGGGAATTACTGGAAGGGCACGTTGTCCCCAAGGCCGGTGCTGAACTGGTGAGCTCGATAGGCCTAAAACCTGCTTCATTTTCGATTGGCAAACAGAAGTTTCTCCAATTGAGTCGCAGCGGAGTCTTTAATTACACATTCATCTATTAAAACATTCACAACAAAGTTGTGTTGTTCTTTGCAGGTATTTAGAGAGAATGAAAGCTGCCATTGATATTGCGAAAGCCGGTGCCGGTGGTGAGTCTCACCTCTTGAATGCGGACCCTTTATCTGTTGCTATGCTCGTCTAACGAGCTCCATCCAATATGATCAGCCTTAAATTAGTGAGTTTGTGGCAGGAGATGGCAAAGTGTCACTGATCGGACACTCTGCCGGAGGATGGTTGGCACGAGTATACATGGCAGAATTCGGGACACAAGATATTGCCCTCCTCCTCACTTTGGGAACCCCTCATCTGTATGTATTCAAAGCTATACACCAGGATATGCTGTTTCCACATAAGTTGCTGCTGGTACATTAGGCTTCATAATACTGTTCCTTCTGCAGTCATTGTCTTAGATGTAAACTAGGCCTCCACCTAACTGAGTACCGAATGTCTTGTTCAGGCCTCCTCCAAGAGGAATTCCTGGAGTTTTTGATCAGACAAGGGGATTACTGTACTATGTTGAGAACAACTGTCCTGGAGCATATCATGCACCGGACGTTAAATACGTGTGTATTGCGGGCAGGTAAAGAGCTGAATTTTGACGACATTTTCTGCGTCAGGGATTCATATTGTCAGTCAAACTCTCGTGTAAGGCCCTTCGTTCATTGCGTTTTGTGAGTAAGAGAGATGCAGGGTAGAGATGCAGGGTCAGGATTTGTTCAGAAGTTACTCTTGCCATAAAGTATCACCAACTTTGCGTTCAAAGATGGGAGTTTTCGAGCCCCTGTGAAATGTTAATCCAAGTCATACAAGATGAGGATATGATATGAGCATCTTAAAGTTTCGTGAGGTAGACAGTGAAGCTCGAGTGCAAAGCTCCGATGGCTCAAGATTTTAAAATTTTGGATTCCAGGTACGTGAAAGGCAGTCCTTTCGGAACGGAACAAACTCCGGTAGCAACCACAGGTGTGGGTACGCTAGATTTGGAAGAGGTTGACGCAGATACATCCGAGGCTCCAGAAAGCCCAGAGCAAGTTGCCAAGACTGCAGAAGCTTTTCCATCATTTCGTGAGCGTTTTGTAGGGGCAGGCTACAAGCAGGTAAAAATTTTGATGCGAGATCTCTTGCCCCATTCTTCCAGTAACTTCTTTGCCCTTTATTTTATGCAGTGATTTTGCATGGATATTGAGTGATGATTCTTGACAAGCAGGTCTGCGGGAAGGCCAATGTCTGGGGAGACGGGGTTGTACCAGAAGAGTCTGCATACCTGGAAGGAGCTCTTAATATATCCTTCGATGGTGTTTATCATTCTCCTGTCGGCGCAAGCTCAGAAAGACCTTGGTATGGAACAGTTGAAGTCCTGGACAAGTGGGTTCACCATTTGCTTGAGTAGACCGATATGTTTGTGATGTGCCTCACCGTTAAGGGAATGTTGTCTCCATTCTGGGACCCCAAGTTCGATGTCGTTTCCAGAAATCCTGAATGAGGTTTGGAAGTCCTTGTGCACATCAAGCTTCATGTCTGTTCTGCTTCAATTCTACAAACAGCCAAGGTTCAGATGACATCGCCAAATATTGTTGGAGACTACATGAGCATTCGATTTTCAATGCTAGGTACTCAAGATATTGTGTTTGAGAGTTAGATATATATCCAACGTTATAATGACAAGAAATATCATTCTCGAAAGATGGCCTTAAGCTGGCGTCGATGAACACGAAAGTTTAGCGCTACCCAAGTAGCCGTGCTCTGCAATGATCGCAAGACGAATGTTCATGTGCTTCAATCACCAGATTCGAAAGATGTGATGTCATATTTCAAAATTCGTGTGAGGTTCGGTGGGATGTATTCTGTAAATCTGTACCTCTGTAACCCTGTCTATCAGCTGTATGCATTAGGAAGCCGTGATCACAACCTTAATTGCGTGGAAGTGTTCTCTCTTTTTTATCTACCATCGATTTGCTCACAGCATATTTCTTGTCTAAGAGAATTACATCATCTAGTCCAAGTCTGCGGAAATCGCTTGTAACTTCAGTTTCTATCTACATTGACATAAAATATTATGAGTTCGTGCTTGCCTGCACACGAGCAATAATCCTTCCGCCCTTCTAAGACGCTTGTCGATGCAAAAAATTTGCACGTTTGCACGCGAAGTCTAGTAAGCTCTGAATTGTTCATATTTCTTGTCCGATCCGCATCTCTTGTTGCAAATCGTAGTACTGGGCTTCACGTGCCCGCTTCGGAATGGGCGAGACACTCCTCAATCCATGATCACTGCAGAAGACACAATGCACTCATCGTTTCACTCACCATTTTCTGGTTTAGATATGCGGCTGCGGGACGATTAAAAAACCACAAAGAACTGCGCCAAATGTATAAAACACCCATACGCTGAACCTCGAGGCCGAACGAATTAGTTCTGGTAATGCAAGAATCGAGGAGTTTGCTACTCATTCCACGATCTGACAATTCATCCCTCCCGACGGTTTACAAACGGCAAAATTTTGTGTGTCAGACGCTTTCGTTGTTCCGAGGCTCGGCCGTCAGAACGATCATACAACTAAAATGTCATTAAAGTATGAGAATTCCGGGATTGCAGAAAGTTGCCTGCTAACAGGTTTCAGGACAACGGAAGTTGGCAGAGACGACACGGGCTTCTGTTGCAGTAGATTGGATCATACGCGACACTGGAGCAGGATATCACTGCAGTGTATTGCACGTCGAAGGTTTTTTTCTTCAAAATTTAAGGAAATAGATTCAGATGTAATATTGATCAAATTGATTACAGGGGACCTGGTAAAAAAAAAGAAGTGGTCAAATGGATCAAGTAAGTCGTTAAAAGACTTCATACACAAAGGAACTGTCTCCACGAGTTCGCTGGATCAGTTGCCATCACATTGCTCCAGAAATGACGATCTCAAGCTGCCGACGAGTGTAATAAAGTTCGCGGATGTGACCGACCACCCGTTTGCAATCTGTTGGTCTGGGTCCAGAAGAAAGAGATCCTTTAAGATGGAAGCAAACATGAGAAGACCATATTCTGCCGTGTTTAGAGCTTTGTATAGAATGCCAAACCCGTAATCAACAAGAGTTCACAGCAATCCTGGCTGTGATTGCACAGCAGAATCTCTATCTACAAAACCCCACAGTCGGTGCTCCACCTAGAAATGCAATGAGATATAGAGTGTACTGACTGCGCCAACTTCCACTTTCATCGCCTCTATCTAACAATCCCATTGGAGATCATACTTAATCCGACCTAAGCTGAACGTGGTAGATTTGATATCAGAAGTGGACATTCTTCCACCTTAATCCACCAAGAGGGATTTCCCTCTCAAACCGTTCTTGATCTATGCTAGTAACGAAAAGGCCCACAAATGCATCACAAGTCTGAGACACTCACATATTAATCTAGCGATTCCTTTGCTTTCGATTATGAGGATTTTGATGTGTACAGACAATGGAGGTAATGGGTCCGAGAATGAACGTAGCCGGGTGCGAGAAGCCAGAGTGAGACCCAGTTCCAAAGCAGTCCTTTCATGTGTCAGGCTTGGAGCTTGAAGTTCGAGCCGGCATGTTCATACTCTATGAACGGACTCGAGAACGAGGCTAGATATAAAACGCTGAAATTGTTTCTGATTCCACATTATTGGGATTCGATCTCTTGGCACTTCTCTGAACTTATCTCGGTCGTTATGGCGTCTGAATCTTTCACTCCCAGATATCTGCGAGGATGGGCAGTAGCGCTTCTAACAGTGCTGTTTCAGCAGTCTTCCAATTCCTCCAGGAAAACTAGAGCGGACGGGAGCTGGATCCTCGTGTACTGGGGTCAGTACGATGAAGCTACGCTATCCTCGGCTTGTGATAAGGCAAACTATGACATGATGGTCCTTACCATCCTCAACGCATCAGGAAAGGACCAGGAGCCACCGATCAATCTCTCCAGTCACTGAGACACGAGCCCCGCTGGTAACTGCGCAGTCCTTGAAGCGGACATCACCAACTGCCAGAGCACAGGCATTTCTATTCTACTATAAACCGGTGGGGCTCGACTATCAATTACGGAATTGGCTCGAATCTGGACTTGTGGATGTTACTGCATACCTCAGGACTAGCTACCTCGCAAGATTTCAAGACTTCAATACTAGCGATGGAGGTCTTCTCGGAGAAGCAGTGCCTGACGGAAGAGACTTCGATATGGAGATGGGGACTTCAGCTCATTACGCTGATCTGGCCGAGCCTCTGAGAAGTCTGATGAGATCTGGTGACGAGCGGTGTATCCTCACTGCAGCACCTCAATGCCCCCTCCCAGACGAGTGGAGAAATCCGGTACTGCAATCAAGGCTGTTGGATTACGTTTGGGTGCATTTCTACAGCAATCCTGAGTGCGACTACAAACCCGTGAGTGGAAGCGTAAAAGCATGGGGCATATAGACCTCGGGACTGCTCCCAGGTTCCTCTGTCCTGTTGGGCTTACCGCCTTCTCCTGATGGAGCTTAGAGCATTGATTCTTGTTCTGCTCCGTATCAGGATGCACCCACGCTTCGGAGGAGTGATGCTGTAGTCGTACTTCTACAACAGGAAGTCTCAATTCAGCGCAACTATCAGGCAGAAGGTCAACACAAAGATCTGAGGCTGAGTCCCTGGGAACGAGTCATGATATCTATTACAGCAGGCCCTAAATACAGTAGCCATCAAGTACGCCACACAGCAGATACATAAACGTAGAGTTCGTGCAGATTGCCATGTGATATAGAAGGTTGGACAAGAGGGAACAATGTGTGCGGTTGCAACGCTGCTAGCAACAATTCCGAGGATTGTCCAAACGTTCACATGGTCATTGCGTGGACGAAGACGGTCTGGGAAGATTTGCGTTGGATCCATAGCAAAGCACAATTTAGTAAAACATCTATTGCGGAAGAGTGAGAATGTTCATGTGCATGTGATTCCCAAACCCCACGCTTCTCTTCGCCGATGTGCCTGACACGGAAATGATGCAACTGTGAAAAAAAAGGCACGGAGGCATCTAAATAAAAGTGGGGCATATGGGCCTTGAATGGGCAGCAGCCGGTGGGAAGCTCATAAGGCCTAACAGCGTTGCCAGATTTACCTGGTCGCTGTCAGCGCAGCTAAACCAGTTGCATTTGACTGCCGCAATCTTGATTGGATGCAAACTATTCTGTATATTCTATTTACGGAGGAACCTGTAAATGTAGTTGGGAAGTAGGTGCCGGTTCCTGGGGAACACGGTCTGTTTTCGGTTGTTAGTTGCGAAGAAAGGAGAAGAAGGTTACATGGGGAGAGGAGGAGGAGAAGAGATCATGGCTGTCAGCGGCAGCCATGAAAGGAAATAGGATGACGGTACTTGTAACTGGAACTGCGCCAACGTACACTTGGGCCAGCTCCTCTGCCTATTCTCTCGCCCGTCTCGCTCCAACGTAAGCTGTCATGGTTCATCCACTTTCCTGCGATGCCCTTACTACAGTCTGTCCCTCACGCTGACTTTCTCACTCCACAATGCCAGCTTTGGGCCGTCCCCACCACCAACCCAAAAAATTTGTGCTTAACTCCCACCCCCAGGCCCTCTCTCTGTACTTTCTCATCCACATCAAATTCCATTTTGCAACAGCAGATCTTCAACCTTCTTACCCAGAGCAGCTAGTACTCATCCTATCTCGTCTGGGTGCTCATAAAAATCTCGGCACATAGTACATAGTTTCCATCATTCCACATAGTACGCAGTCTGTGTGCATCATAGTGCCATTCTGTCTTTACAGTGAAGTCCTCTGAATCTCAAATCTCTGCCTAGCCTGCGTGGCTTCTTAGCAACTATACCTCAAGTCGGTGGGGAGAGATTCAGACGTGCATTGTGCGGATCATTGTCAAACGCCAGCCTCCTGGCTTGAAGAGAGGACTAGGAGGTTTGTCTAATCTACGTTTCTCATCTGAGTAATATGTCCCTTGAAGCAGAGTGAGTACTCTCATCTCACGACCACGTCGAGCTAGAGAATTCAGAGGAGAAGAGGAGGGGAGCTGTTCAGGTGAAGACGAGCTGCATTGTTAAAGTTTCTGAGTAAAAGCATCGGCTTCACTTTTTAACAAGTTTGGTTCAGTGGGTCTTGCATTCGAGTGACGTGAGCCAACAGGAAATATGGGAAGGAGCCTTGCCTTGAGCGCAGCCAGGCGTGTACGTCTAGCCGTCTCTGGACAATCAGCTTATGCCACTCCAGCAATGCTCAAGCAGTCGACGACTTACGACTACGAAAGGGTGGGTGTGTCATCTACCGAAGAAAGGCCAAGCAGGCCTGTGAGGCTCGGAGGAAGGAGTCGGATCCGCATAGCAGGTCTGCAAGGACTTCTTCACACTCCGAGCAGCCTCCTCTCCAGACTCAGGGCTTCTTATGGAAAACTACGAGAAACTGCGAAAGAAACCAACGTCAATGTCTACGATCTCTTCGTGGGCAACCAAATGCTCATGCATGTGTGTGCCACCCCGTTGAGGCCCTACAAGAAGAAGGTTACACCTACCATTGCGGCACCCAGGAATTCCAAGCTATCCAAAGTGCCATCATCCAAGGGCTTTCGCGTTGGCAGGTCGGCCTCATTCAAGCACAGGTTATGATGAATTCAGTGACCACTAGTGGATCTGACCTGCTGTTACATGATGAAAACCACGACGAGCAGAGCAAACCGGAAGTTTTGAGGGTTAGCTCAAAGGATATACAGGGATCTGGCTGGGGAGGTGAACTGGAACAGATCGCAGCATCATGCGAAGTTGACAGCAAAGTTCATGGAAAGTTCCTTGGTCTTCGGTCGTTACTGAGTGTAGTCGAAAGGGAAGGAGTATATTTCCATTCTGTAATCGATGAAGGCTCGTTCGTCAGTGCAATCCATGTTCGTAATACAGAATCGATCGACTGATGAGGAGAGTACTTCGGTCTCTTGGAAGTGATTCTCTTTAGATTCATGGGGAATATCAGGCACGACCGATATTCTCAATGGCCTTACTACATACTTACTACTGCACTTGTATATTACCAGAGTCATGTGACCTTCCCGCATACCGGTTGATGCTTGTCGTCCTTTAGTATAGCCGTATAACAATGGCATGAGTCAGAATGTAGAACCATAAAATCCCTCTTCTTACGTGGTAGACCAGAATTCTTTTCGTTTCACACTTGAAGCATTAATAAAAGGTCGTCTCGCACAACTCCCGGAGTCGTGCACTAAGACAACGGTACCGTCTACAATCCATGCATCTAGTCAGTCTGCAAGATGCTGAACATTCGGATTCGCTTCGAAGGAAGGCGATTCTTGTACAGAACTCATGTGAGACATTCTAGGAAGGGGCATGGTGGTCAGAGCTAGTATGACACGGAGCAACATCGGGCCTACCGAAGTCCTGAGTGGTTTCTTGCTAGATGGAGTAAGTAGATTTGGTAGTTCGGTGGTCTAGGTCCTGGCTACAGAGACTCTAGCTCACTACAATGTCTAATAAATTACAAGCAGTGTACACACTTACTATTCGTACAGGAATAGCACATCATATGCTTGTCAACGAATGATTTGATTTTCAGTAGCCTCATTCAACAATGTCATCATGTATCTCAAAGCCTGACTAGAATTCATCTTTGCAAACTACTTATTTTATTGCTGAAGTGTTTGAGGTCAAGTATAAAAGAGAAGCGCCTTGACTTGGAGCGGGGTTTTAAGATTCGATTGTACATACCTCTCTTCATATGAAACACACCATATTCAACGTCGCAACTGATTTGCCATCAACTTGTTTTTGAACATTCTGAGGGCTGATTTCAAGCTGACCGGACGGGCATCTGTGTAGGGTCTAGTATTTGCCATTACAGGGTCTGGAACCGATAATTCGTACAAGGTCTCTCGAGGATCTTTCGCTTCAGCTGAGTCCTCAATTCGAGCCAAAGGTTTGAAATGTGTACCACTCTTTGGAAGATCCATGAGCCTCGCCAACGCATGTCTTATGCTCTCAACGCTGATCTCGTGCATTTTCTCCACCTTTTCCAGAAATCTTTCGTATTTCTTCTTCTCTTCTCGACAGTTCTCCAACTCAATCTCAAACTGCTCATAATCTTTGTCATTGTTCTTCGACTCAGCAATGGACAGCTCCAAGTACTGTATAACGTACTCGTTGAACGGAGTGATGGTACTGTTCTTCAAGAAAGCAGCGAATTGCACTGAGGTTTCATCAATGACATCCTTCTCTTGGGTCCACTCTTCGAGGCTCTTCTTGGTCGATTGGAGAGCTAGCGTTTTCAGCTCCTTATTGGTCATACCCTTCTCGATGGCCTCCCTTATTTCACGGTTCTCCACGTACTTAATGACAGTTTCGAAATTGATTTGCCTATGCTTTGAGTAGTCATGTTTACACCTCGTGCACGTCCCTTGCAACGTCATGACACTGCAGAAACGCACACTCATCTCCTTGCATATGGCATGACAGAGTTTCGGGTAATTGAACGTGGACAGACCATTGGTTTGCACTATTTCAACACACGGAGGGTTCGTACACACGAGTCTCCAGTGGTCGAGGGGCAGAAATTCCACCTTCCGACTCGTCATGAGCAATTTTTGTGCATCTGTTATCTCCTCATCAAACTGCTGGATAAGTTCAATCTGCTCCTCTTCGAACTTTTGTTGAAGACCGATGTTCTGGGTGATGATATTCATAGGCTCTTCTAGGTTTCTCACTATCTGCTTCACCTTGTTCACGGACACTGATGCCTCTGTTCTGTGCGGAGTGATCGTACTGAATCGCTTCAGAAGTCGCGTCATCTCTTCCACAGATCTCTCCCAGCTCCTTTCGAGATCCTCCTTGCCGGTTGATAACTCGAAATTGTGGTGACGAGCTGCCAGCGCAGGAAACACCTCGTTGTCAAAGAAGTACAATGTTTGCTCGTTTATAGGTATCTCCACTCCCGTCGTCTCCTTCAAGGAATTCCGAAGCTTCTGCAGGGGTCCCAGGGTCGATCGCAGTTTGAAGTCCGTATATCTGCAGTTTGTGAAGCAGAATGCAAAATTGTCTACAGCACTTTTGTGGAAGTAGGTCAGCAACTCGGACAGACAGAATCCTATGTAAGTATGAAGCCTGGGCTCGTCCGGTTTAAGCAAGATGCAGATGCCGTGAATGTTTTTGTACTTCGTCATGGTGTTCAAAATGTCCTTGAAGTTCTCTCTATCCTGCTGGAATCCCCTTGTATCGCCCACGCCCGGAGTGTCTATGAGCCTCACCGTCATTGAGTTGTCCTTAAGCTTGAAAACGTGCGCTTTGCAGACTTGCGTGGCAGATTCACCTCTGAAACTTCCGTCGAGATCCTCCTCTTGCCCTGAGATGTTTTCTCCGACCCGAAATTCTGTCTCCTCGTATTGTTCTCTTTTGACAACAATGCTCGGGATTGCCACTTTCACACCGCCTTCCAAAGCGTCATCCAGCGAGTCGTAAGTCCAGTAGTTGAAGAAAGCATTGATGAATGTGGACTTGCCGATCCCAGTCTGCCCGAGGATGAGGAGATTGACGAAATCCGCCTCTGACTCCGCCATGTCCGTCATCTGGAATCTCGACAAATGGCTCTCCGGCCGGATCTTCTGTCAGGCCACCAAGACCAGGAATTTCTCAATCGACTTTCTATGTCCTGCAAAACTTTCAAATGCAGTCTCGCGTTGAGGTTCCATCATAGATAAATGCGAGCAAAAGCACGATGTCTTAGAGAACAATCAAAGTCAGCAAATTAACGATCGAATTCTTGCCTTCTGCATACCACCAGTGACAGTTAAAGGGTGAAGGAGAAACCACTCACGTTGGGAGCAATACGAAGTAAGGGGTGGATCTCGATGGCTTTTTCTGCAGCGCCCTGTGCGGCTGCCAGAATCCTGGACCTCAAGTCATATCTCAACGTAATCCCTCGTTGAGAATACGAGCGAAGGAAAAAAATTCTGGCAAGTCGATACGAGCATGAATGACGATGTGATCTATGAATCTATAACAAATTATGTACGTTCGACCTAAGGTAGAATCCTATCACCAACTTGAACCTTTACGAGCATCTGGAAGCAGATCTGTGTGATCTATCACCAGCGACAACTATGGTGTAGTACTCAGCATTGGGCCACAGGTACATGGGGCATCCCTTTGGCGGGCACAAGGTATCAAATGCAAGGAGAAGAAATAGGCCCTGGTTCATGATCGGGTTGTAGGCACCGGATTTCCATTTGCAAGCTCAACAATTACTTGAGCTTTCTTACATGTGCACTACGAATCTCCGGTGCTCATGGTCACATCCACACTGTTCAATCAGGTGAGCAGAAAAATTCTGTTCATGACAACTCAGACGTCCGCTGTTCTTGGGACCCTTTAAGGACATTGATGCCAGCACGGTGTAACTTACATCCAAAGGCAAGCAATTGATGCTTGCAAGTGAAGTACTCATGACCTGCGAGGTGATCATGGTTCTCAGTCATCCCAGCAAAGTACAGGGAGCTCTCAGAAGATACTACTTCACTCACACAATTTTTGGTGGAATGCTTTCCACAAGCAGATGCAAAGACTTCGGACTTTGTCAACACATGGCGAACTCAAAGTATCTTATACCCCGAACTCACACCTGTAGCAACAGTTAGCTCTGTACACGACCATCACGCAAGCGATTGTTCACTGGCTTCTCCTTTGAGTCCAACACGAACCCGATGCGCACCGCGAATAATTGCAAGATGGTCATAGTGTCCAGGCCTCATCACAAGTATTACAAACTTTTCAGCACAAATAGCTCTTTGAAACTAGTGCACCGAACTGTACAAAGCAGGTGAAATTCCCGGCGCGGCTGGCGATCCAGCACCATCTGTGAAATTTACCTTAGAGGAATCAACTTTCGCAGTCCACTGAGAGAGAGACCATGTGTGGCTAGTATGAATGTCGGAAACTATGATTACGTTTATTCTAATGGATGGTTTGGAACATTCTTGTCCAGGATGGAGGGCTCACTAGGACAGATCTTCTCCATGCCACCGCACTGAATTTCCTTCTTGTTGTGATTCTGGAGGTAGGTTCAAGTTGGGTCATGAAGAGCCCTGGCTTTCTGCCACAAACCTCTCATTCGCATCAGGTAACCGCGACGGTAATGAATTTTCGAGTAGATCTATTTTCGGGGTGCAGATGTGTGCATCTGAACCAGATGTGACGCAACATTCTCACTGTATACAGCACAAATCACTGTACGAGCCAAACGAAGGTTAAAAGACAAAGCCGTGCCTTGATGCTGTGCAAGTGAAGTTAAACTCCTCATCTCTTGGAAAAATGTAAATATTCGTGAAAACGCTGTGGCTGAGTGACGTAGAAGAGTCGTGGATCTTGGTTCCGAAGCAGATCCACAGACGTTTTGCTTTTCCAGTAACGACAAACCAAGACTGCAGGGTATGGAGCCTCGAAGACGCTGTCTATCGTGCAGGACATCGAGGACGAATGTAGATGAGGTTGAGAAAGTCGAGCATCCGAGATCCTGAACCGGCCAAGTTAAGTAGATTCACTCAAAAACTAAGGGCTGGGACCGTAAAGACACACGTTAGAAGCTTATTTCTTCTCCAATTTTTTCAGACACTTTTTATATTATCATCGGTCTATGTGGTGGCATTCTGCCAGTGATCACAGTGGTCGCCTAAAAAATACGAGGATCCGAGAAGCCGAAATCAGGTTTCCGATTGTACACCGTTTGCAAGAGACAGAGTGACAATCTACTGGACAAGAGGAGACGCACGTACGAGCCTAATATCCTATCACCTCTGGGTGATAGGATGTTAGATGAAGGTTTGAAGACAGTTTCGATTACCTTGACATGTATGCAACATTCAGTCAGTGTTTTTAGATTCGTGGTTTTGAGATCGATGTGTAAGTATCTGTTTGATCTGTAGGAAGAATTCTGAAGTGCTGGGAGCAACCGACTCTGCAGTCTTTCATCTTCTCTTTCTTGCGCAGCGCAGTGTTAACTCGCTCCTATTGTGACATTGTGAGACTTTCCTTTGTGCACGCAGATTTGAGTTCGACAGTCCTTGGAGATTGGACAATTTTATCATACAAGGACAGGACATAGAAGAGATGAGCTTCCCTAATGCAAGGCCTTCGGCGTCAAGGTCTGCAGTTGCTTGAGCAGCATAATGCATTGAGCTACGGGTTGGGCTTGCGAGCGCAACCGGCGAATGGAGCTTGAGACGGAAACCAATGAACAGGCATGCCAACTCGGGCAGTTGAATTCTGGTGTAAGAGACGAGATCATGCCCGAGTTCAAGCTGAATTGGGAGGTTCCAGAGGACGCGATGGTGTCCGTAGACTTGAAGCAGACATCTGTTGCATGGGAGGAGGAATTCTCAACGAAGGACAGGTTCAAATTACTGGAAGTAGAAGGAGAATTAGAATCGAGCATCTTGCTAGGCTTGGCCGAAGTCACGGGTGCCAGTCAGTATCTTACGAGCGTGATCAAGAGCTCAACTAGTGTGAGGATCTGCATGGTCTAGAGAGCTGTGACGAAAGAAGAAACTCTAGCTCTCCAACTCGACGAAGTAGCGAGCATGTTCAGGTTGGAAGCGTTGCAGAACTCACCTGCTACCCATGTTGCAGTAGGGATTCAATTCAGTGGCTACATTGGGGTGATCGTCTGCGAACAAGGTTTGACCGAGTGCGAAAACCGACGAAAGGCCGAGGTGAGCTTGAAGGCTTCTTTGAAGACGGGTTTGCCTAGCTCCATCGTCGACATTCTGAGCGCCGTCAAACTGTATCCAGGTGTCCCGGTGAATAAATCCACCAGTGAATCAGAAGGGCGATGACAATAGGAAGAAGCGATATGTGAAAATATTCGCAGGAATCATGCCTCGAAAGTTCATAGAACCGACTGGCTTCCAGTCTGCACTAGAGTTTGCTCGATCCGTTGCAGACATAAATGGAAATACACATCGAGCTTCATGTCGGAAAGGGTACGCCTCAGGAGGTCCATCTTCTCAGCGTAGAGGCGGTATGTCGGAAACTGATGACTTAATTCGTAGTGCAAGGAACCACCTTGAGAACTTTGAGCAGCGTTGTGGTTACTGCAATAGAGAAGGAGCTGGAAAAGTTGGCGGATTTGACGCAACTCCTCACCTTGACTTGTGAGGAACTCGAGAAAAAGGCCAGAAAGGTGGGGATTTCAGAGGACGAGCTCACACGCATAGACAGAGTGCAGGTTAAAATTGCGATAGAAAAAATGAGGTTCCATGCTGTTTTGCGAGAGCTTTTGGTCGATGGTCCGGAATCAAAGAAGTTGGCGAGATTGGCTGTAATCTGTGTAATATCCAGGAAACGAAGAATTCTGCAGCGGGGTTGAATAGCATTTGAAGACCTTGAAGTTCTCCAAGAGAAAGGTAAACTTTATGGGCTACATGCAAAGGAAGGGTGTAGAACTTTCAAGGGAGGGGAACTTTTAAGGGCGTCGGGGATAATAGGGAAGAGGCTTGGGGTAAGAAGAATATGAAGAATATTAAGAACATCATGATCGAACTGAAGAAGAACAAGCACATCCATGGATCTGCATTTTCCTAAAACCCAACGAGTCGCGGCAGAATCTAATGGTGGAGAAATCTATCATGGAGATGCTGGTGCACCTTCACAAGAATGGCAATCTGTTTTACTAGCGCGAAGTCCACCAACTTCCTCGTCGGTGACACTCCGCGCTCCACTGGATTACATTCGACGGAAGAAGCAAGTTAGGATAAAGATTAGGGTGAACACCATGCTCTGCTTCGAAAATGAGCCGCTTTGATACTTGGCAGCATGCCAGAAGCCTCAAGGACGAAGTTTCCAAACCCAACCACCAGTCAGAAACTGGAATCAATCGGTGAGAAAATTTGACAGACTCTTCTCCAAGGTCAACTCCGATCGAGGAAACGGTGTACATCATAAGAGTAACGAATATCACTCAGAACCTGGAGGAACCCATGGTGATGCTAGCCGAACAGATAGTCGAGAACTCGGAAGCCATAGAGCAGAAGCGTAAGGACATCTAGAGCATGGAAGAGGATCTGGAGGCGTTGAGGGAGGTGCTATGAAGTCCACCAAGGTGATAGAATCAACTATTCAGAAGCTCGCTCACGAAAGAGCAATGTACACGAGCGCTGCCTGCAAAACCAAAATCGTCCTCAAAGACGGCTGGACGCAAAACGAGTATAGAGTGCCAAAATCGCTGCACAGGCTATGAGTCGTCCTGTTGAATAGTCCAAACAATAAGCGCTCGGCTATGCTCGTCGATGGTCTCGGGCAAGTGCAGAAATTGCCAGTGTCCTTCCAGAGAACACAAATTCGAAACCTACGAGGTGAAGCAGGCACTGAGGGACATGCCCGTAGAACGGGCAGGCGGCGACGACCTCAAGCTGCATGAAGAGAACAGCGCAGCAGCAGTCAAAAGGTCGGTCCTCGACCGGGACGAGCAGGACGTGAGGGAGCTCGAGATACAGATCAGATACCGATGCGCAGATAATGTTTGCTTCCGTTTTGCAGGAGCACATCTTCACCTCCAAAATCGAAAACAAGTCGAACACCTGGACCGCTTGATCTTTCAACGAGAGAGCAAGCTAGGCAGCGCGATAACATCGACAAAATCGTCGACAAGATCGGGGATCTGAAATCCAGGTCTAAAAAATACAATATAGGGAACTCAGAGGACTCGCCGAGCTCCTCAAGGGACAACCTCGAGCCGACGAGATCGGCAAGGTCAACATTAAGGCCATTCTCAAGGTCCTCGAATAAGTTCCCATCTGCGGTAACGTGTTCATCATCCAGCTGGAGATGGGAGCACCTTGAAGGATTCCACTGACATCGACTCTCGCCACACGCAGCGTAGTCGCCCTTCAGTCTTCGCTCCGAAGCGTTGCAACAGGCGCGATGTCGATGCGAAGACACGGATGACTTTGTGAGTACTCAGAGAATTCTTCCGAGTCATCTGAGGCGACCCCGTCGGTTCGATACATGAAAAGAAATGAGCGATTTTTCCAGAGCGAATGAAACTCTCCGAAGTACAGCAAGCACGAATCTACATTAGATGGGAACCTCCAATCTGCCTTAAAGAATGCAAAATCGGGGAACAGCGCCAGAAGAAAAGATTTCGTACCATGCAAGAGCTCGTCGTATTCGAACTGAGCGGGACGACGGAGGGCGAGTCCGAGGAAGTCTGCTTAGAGTTCGACGAGCAGAGAAGTGATAGATCACCAAAAGGTGATATCTCCTTTTCGGAAGATATTGAGTCCACTCCGTGGCCTCCACTCTGAGCTTTCAAAGGCCTCGAAGACGAATACGTTCGCACTCAATCGTTCAGCAAAGCAACTCTGTGTATCGTTGTTCATTCGCAAACGAATTACGTTCCAGCACAGATAATTGTTACCTCACCATCCACAAACAATGGATATCTGATTCAACAAGATGGAAAGAATCCATGTGGACGTTAGCTCAGTTTTTCAAGCTTCGCAAATCCAGGTAAAACGCTGTTGATTGAGCTCACTATATCGGAGATCGTCATGCAGTCGTTCTCATTTGTCGTTCACAACCAGGCTTTCGGCATAAGCCGATAGCCTACGTACGATTGCTGACGTCCTCTCTCCAACATGCGAATAACATTTATAGCTCGGTTCCTCATAGGAGACATGATTTGAAACTTTTTGCTTTGCCGGTAGTGTTTCGAAATCTTTTGTTCCATCTCCGGCATTCTCTGTAGTGGAATGTTGGATCGCAGATTTCCTGATTTCTGCTAGCTTCCTAATGCAGAGGTCTATATCTGTCTCTCTCGGCAAATCTTCGACAGAGAACCTTCCTTTCTTACTCGGTTTATCTTCCACGAACAGATATGGAATTCGACCTGTGAGTTGAAGGTGTACAAAGTTTAATTTCTCAGGTCAACCTTCGGAGAGGTGGGTTGGTACACCGCAGGCCACATAAAATCCTTGATAATCGCCTGGAAATACTGCAGACAGTCTGCAGGGATTCATTTCATCCTTTTAAATACACATGGTCAATTGAAAGTATGATAGAATCGATTTTAATGTCCAAAGGGTGTAGCAAATGTTTGAACTTTTTGTAAATCTGATCTACCTGAGGCTCCTAAAGAATAGAAGTTTAGGACCTCTAAGTGATCAAGTGGACAGTTTGATACATCTTTGAGTTAAGATTCGGCGTGCAAACAACATCCTGTTCAAATGGTTAGCCTGATGTAAGTTAGCAGCATTTTACTCTTACATTTCATATATGTAATTTCGAAACACCAACATATCATATTTGTTATGAACAGTTGTAACTTACGAAAATGGAACAGACATATTTTTCTTCTACTTTGCTTTTTTGTTTCTCCGCGTTGTTTTTCTTTTCTTTTGTTCTCCAATTGTGGACTTTAAATAGACAAATATAATTTGTTCACTTGGATGTTAGAAGATGGGATTGAGTTCTGTATCATAGTGGTGATAGTTTACACACGTTTTCCAATCATTTTAAGTTGAAGAGAACGGTAATATGATTACTATAATTTTTTGTTTTGAAGTATATAATATTTACGCGGATTGTGAATTATGAATATGTAGATATAGATATTTCATTGTTGTAGATTTATTTGATTTGAATTAGTAATTAATTTTTATATTCAGGTTTATAAATAAAAATATTTATTTTTGATTTTATCATTACATATCACATCTATAATTAAAAATAAAATTACACACACAGAGGTGATAGATTGCAAATGTCCAAGAGAATTTATTTGTAACGAAAAATTTCATTGTAACAATCTGATGTATTCAAAGTTGAATTACATACTTTTTCAAGAAGTGAAGACTCGCAAAACAATATACAATTGCGCATAGGTATTTGCCCTGCGTTGACACACTATTCTTCAAGTAATAGTTCTACACTGTGAAGAAAGGGTTCTTTCCCATCGAGTATATCACAGTTCTACAGACTCTCTTTTGTACAAGGTCCCACCGAATCTAATGCTTTAAATCCCTCGCGACATTCTCAGCCTTCCTGGATGCGTCATTAAGACCAGACTTGGCGTTCTTGGATGCATCATCAATGCCAGACTGAGCAGACTTTCCAGCATCTCTGGCTGAACCCTCTACCTCGCGGGCAGCATTCTTGAAGCTAGATTGGGCGTCCTTGCCCGTGTCCTGTGCCTTGCTGGTGGCCTTGTCGAAATTCTTCCTCAAGTCATCTCCTGCATTCTCGGCCTTGTTTTGGAGATCTTTTCCAGCGTCTTGTGCTTTGCTAGTGGCCTTGTCGAAGTTCTTCTTCAAATCATCTCCTGCATTCTCAGCATTGGCCTGCACGTCCTTTCCAAAACTCTGTGCTTTGTCGGTGGCTTTGTCGAAGTTCTTCTTCAAGTCATCTCCGACATTTTGCGACTTTGATCGCAGATCTTGTCCTGCGTCTTGTGCTTGGTTCGTGGCCTTGTCTGCGTTTCTCTTCAGGTTGTCTCCGGCCTTCTCAGCGCCTCCTGTCAGGTCGTCCTGTAAACAAATATCCATAAGCAAAGTTAGACATAAGTGTGCCACTATCACGTCGAACACACTGCTACAAGATATACAGCACAAGAACAGGCCGACAACAAACTTTGGAGACAAAGTTCATGCGTACAGAGTTTCTTCCTCACCTTCACATTCTCGGCCTGGTTCCTCAAATCTTTCCCTGACTTTTTCGCTTGGTCGCTGGCATTCTCAAACTGCTCACGTCCAGCGCTGGCTGCATCATTGGCCTTTTCCTTGACAGTCTCTGCAGTATTCTGAGCGCTGCCCTTTACGTTCTCTGCGGCATCAGAGACCATTTCACCGGCTTTGTTGAATCCGCTCTTCACATTTTCTGCGGCCTTGTTCGCAGCATCCTTCAGAGAGTCCAATACACCCTGAGCACAAATGTACCCATTCAAAGGTCAGCACGTGAATCTACCGAAGAGAAAACTGCAAATCACGGTAGCTCATGCAAATTTCGAGTACACAATGCGGGCAGTGCGAGCTCGAATCAAGTCTTAAGATAGTATTCTTTGGAAAATTACCTGGTCTTCGGCTCTCACGGCGAAGGGCCTGGACACTTGTCTGCTGGAAACGCCGACCATCCTCAGCTGAGATCCTCCGAGATGAGCAGAGGAGCTAATTCTCACGGACCTCGACGAAGGTGCGGAGGATGCATTGCTGCATCGAAGGTTTCCTACCTGCAGGGCGGTAGCGTTCAAAGCACTGATCGATGCCATGATGAGACACTAAATTAATGAAGAAAATGGACTGCTGGGAAAAATCGAAGATGAGCGACGAGATGGAGGATGATCACGTGTACGATGAATTCTGAACTCTCGAATGAGGAGGAAGGGGGCGAAAGCAGAAGTAGTTGCTGCAGACGGAGGAATGGCGCCGCTTATGTACCAATTGGCAAGGCGCAGTGGACTTCCACGTGGCTCGCGGCGGCGGTTGCTCATGCAGGATAACGTGAGTGCGCACCGGACTCAGCGCTGCCGGGTGTCGAGTTGCCACTCCGCCTACACGATCCCCGCCAGTTCACCGAAGTCGACCGGTCTCTGAAGGAAAACACCGTGACTGTGGGTGACGACATCTAAAGGATAGAATATTCGAAGATTCCAGTCTGCTCTCCATTCAGAGATGCAAGTCAGACCTCTTCAGAGGAGAGGCCGAGTCCGGGAGGAACGGTTTATCTGTCCGTCTTATCAGGGTGTCGGGGATACAAGGTGGGAGACTTGGGATTAGAAGAATATGAAGAATGTGAAGAACAGCATGGTCGAACTGAAGATGTACAAGCACATCCTTGAGATCTGAACTTTCCTAAAACCCAACGAGTCGCGGCAGAGTCTAATGGTGGAACAATCTATCATGGAGATGCTGGTGCACATTCACAAGAATGGCAATCTGTTTTACTAGCGCGAAGTCCACCAACTTCCACGTCGGTGACACTCCGCGCTCCACTGGATTACATTCGACGGATGAAGTAAGTGATGTAAAGATTTCGGAAAGCACCATGTTCCGCTTCGACAATGAGCCGTTTCGATACTTGGCAGCATGCCAGAAGCCTCAAGGACGAAGTTTCCAAACCCAACCACCAGTCAGAAGCTGGAATCGATCGGTGAGAGACTGTACCAGACTGTTCTCCAAGTTCAGCTCCGATCGAGGAACCGGTGTACATCATAAGAATAAAGAAAATCACTAAGAGCCTGGAGGAACCCATGGTGATGCTAGCCGAACAGATAGTCGAGAACTCAGATGCCATAGAGCAGAAGCATAAGGACATCGAGGACACGGAAGAGGAACTGGAGGCGTCGAGGGAGGTGCTGTTGAAGCCCACCAAGGTGGTAGAATCAACAATTCAGAAGCTAGCTCACGAAACAATGTGCACGAGCGCTGCCTGCACGACCCAAATCGTCCTCAAAGACGGCTGGACGCAGAACAAGTACAGTATAGAGTGTGCCAAAATCGCTGCACAGGCTATGAGTCGTCCTGTTGAATAGTCCAAACATTAAGCGCTCGGCTATGCTCGTCAATGTCTCGGGCAAGTGCAGAAATTGCCAGTGTCCTCCCAGAGAACACAAATTCGCAACCTACGCGGTGAAGCAGGCACTGAGGGACATGCCCGCAGAACGAGCAGGCGGCGACGACCTCAAGCTGCTTGAAGACAACAGAGCAGCAGCAGCAAAGACCTCGTCGTATTCGAACTGAGCAGGACTACGGAGGCCGAGTCCGAAAAAGTCTGCTTGGAGTTCGACAAGCAGAGGAGTGATAGATCGCTAAAAGGTGAAGAGACAGTTTCTATTGCCCTCAAATTTACGCAGCAATATTTCTGCGTTTACAGATTTGTGATTCCTGATCTACTTGGTGGATCTGATCTGCTATCGAAGGCGAACACGAATCAACGATTCTCAATCTCTCCTTTCTAATGAAGAGTAGTGCCCAAAGACTCGATAAGAACTTGTGGCGCTGTTTCATTTGATGGAGCTACAATCGATTTGTGTTCCAATTCCAGTCGGCCCTAAAGTTTGCTCGATCCGTTGCAAACCAACAGCATATCGAAATCAATGGCGGAGATCCATATCGATCCTCAGGAGATATATCATCACAGCGTAGAGGCGCTATGCTTGAGACCGAGGAGCATATTCGTAGTGGAAGGCCCAATCTTCAAGTCTCTGAGTAGCAATGGCGTTACCGCAGTACAGGAGAGTTGGAAACATTGGAGTATATGACGCCACTCCTCATCTTGACTTACGAAGTGGTGGACAAAAAGGCTAGAAAGGTTGGAATTTCAAAGCACAAGCTCACCAGATTGTCGAAGAGCAGAATAACATATGGATGGACTTACTTAGATTCCATATTGGATTCCGCGCAGAGCTGCAGGTCATAGCTCTTCCGAATAGAGCCCGAGTCCAGCAGGTGCGATTTAGCTGTCCGTCTCATAGACATACCGGGGAAACCAGGAGAAACTACGGGAGGGGCTTGGGATAAGAAGAATTCAGAATATCTGATTGATATGAAGAAGTCCAAGCACATCCATGGGATCTGCATTTTCCTGAAGTCCAGTGAACTGTGGCTGAATTACTGTGACAGGGAGCTGATGGAGCACCTCCACAAGAATGCCAGCCACAGCATGGCATTATGTTCTACGAGTGCGAAGTGCAGCAATTTCCTTGTCGGCTACATGTTGAAGCCACTACGAGCTCTACTGGATATACAAAGGATAAAGGGAGTATAAAACTGGCGTGAACACCATGTATTAATTCGGTACCTCTCAGCATCCCAGAGGGCTCGAGGACACAGTTTCACCGGCACAAAGCTGGAATCCATCCGTGGACGAATATCAGACCCAGTTTGACTCCATCGGAGCTAATCAGATCGAGGAGACTGTAAACGTCATGAAAGCCAAGGAAATCATCTAGAGTTTGGAAGAGCCTCTGATGAAGATACGTGAGCAGATAAAGGGTAAATCGGCTTAAGTACAGCAGAAGGAGAAGGAGATCCAGGACATGGAAGAGGATCTGGAGGCGTTTATGGAGGTGCTCATGAAGTCCATCAAGTCGGTAGAATAAGCCATTCAGCAGCTACATCCCCCGAGATCTGTGTGCAAAGGCCCTTCCTAGCTGTCGCTATGATGTGACATGCATGAGGTTTCTACATCAAACCACTCGATAGACTTCGAATCTGTTGTGGAGTCGAAGGATACAACACTGTACTATACACTACTCCGAGGTCTTCAGTAAGAAGAACGTCGCGAGAGTTACAAGCAACGACCATCTGTGGTGAACATTGATTCTCAATGTCAGCAATATTTAGTCTTTACTTCGCTCAGAGCACAGCCTGATACGGATCGCCCACCTTGCGGCAGATACTGGCATTTCGGAAACAGACAAGGGCCAATTCGGTCCATGTGCAAAAGTTACCGATGACGGAGGATGTACTACAGACCAGTACCTCTGTCGCGTCGTCATCGGTACTCTTGCTGTCTAGCGGCGAGAGCCAGGTCTCTCGTGTCCTCTACTCCCGAGTCCCTTCTCGTCTCCTATCTTCCGTGGCCTTCGCTTCCTCCCCTCGCCTGATGCTTGAAAGACTCGGTGCGTACTGTTGGACGACATCTTCTACGGCGCGACGCACTGCTAGCGTCGGATTTCAACTCTATGAAAGTACAAATGTACTGATCGTCCTCCATTAAATATCACATCCGCATTTACTACTTTTACGATTCAATCGTCTCCGCCGAGACCTCCCATATCTTTCCCTTCACCTCCCGAGTCCAGTGAACTGCAATCACCGTAAGTTCTCGTCCAAAAGTACTATTCTGGAAAAAATCAACACAATTTACTCGATTAAGCAAAATGGGACCAGATGTCAGTCTTCCAAAACTATCCATATGTTCCTTCGATATGAAAATATGAATGAATCCTTTTCTGACAAGTTGGAATTCGAAAACTCTAACAAAGAACAGTTCGTCACATTTTCGGAAGATTTCGATTCCACTCCGTGCCGTCCACTCTGAGCTTTCAAAGGTCTCGAAGACGAATTCGTTCGCACTTAATCGTTCAGCAGAGCAGCTCTGTGTATCGTTGTCTATTCGCAAACGAACTACGTTCCAGCACAGATATTGTCACCTCACCATCCACAAACACTGGATATCTGATTCAAGAAGATGGATAGAATCAATGTGGACATTAGCTCAGTTTTTCAAGCTTCGCAAATCCAGCTAAAACGCTGTTGATTGAGCTCACTATATCGGAGATCGTCATGCAGTCGTTCTCATTTGTCGTTCACAACCAGGCTTTCGGCATAAGCCGATAGCCTACGTACGATTGCTCATATCCTCTCTCCAACATGCGAATAACATTTATAGCTCGGTTCTTCATAGGAGACATGATTTGAAACTTTTTGCTTTGCTGGTGGTGTTTCGACATCTTTTGTTCCATCTCCAACATTCTCTGGAGTGGAATGTTGGATCGCAGATTTCCTGATTTCTGCTAAATTCCTAATACAAAGGTCTATTTTTGTCTCTCTCGGCAGATTTTCGACAGAGAATCTTCCTTTCTTCCTCGGTTTATCTTCCACGAACAGATATGGAATTCGACCTGTGAGTTGAAGGTGTACAAAGTTTAATTTCTCAGGTCAGCCTTCGGAGAGGTGGACTGGTACAGCCGCAGAGTTCATAAAAACCTTCATAATCGCCTGGAAATACTGTAAACAGTCTGCAGGAATTCATTTCGTCCTTCTAAATTCATATGGTCAATTGAAAGTACGATAAAATCGAATTATATACATGTTCAAAATGCGAAATATCCCGAATTTTTCTTGAAGCGAAATGTTGTAAAGACATAAAACAGAGTTTTTCTACTTCGCTTTTTTGTTTTCTCGCGTGGAATTACATTTCTTTTGTTCTCCAATTGTGGACTTTCAAATGAGAAATGATAATATGTTCACATGGACGTTAGGAGATGGTAATGTATCAGTTTAACAGTGGTGATATATGGCATATATGTTCTAATCAATCTTAGAGAGAAGAGAATATATTTGCAACGAAAAATTTTATTGTAACAATCTGATGTATTCAAAATTGAATTACATACTTTTTCAGGAAATGAAGCTTTGCAAAACAATATACAATTGCGCATAGGTATTTGCCCTGCGTTGACACACTATTCTTCAAGTAATAGTTCTACACTGTGAAGAAAGGGTTCTTTCCCATCGAGTATATCACAGTTCTACAGACTCTCTTTTGTACAAGGTCCCACCGAATCTAATGCTTTAAATCCCTCGCGACATTCTCAGCCTTCCTGGATGCGTCATTAAGACCAGACTTGGCGTTCTTGGATGCATCATCAATGCCAGACTGAGCAGACTTTCCAGCATCTCTGGCTGAACCCTCTACCTCGCGGGCAGCATTCTTGAAGCTAGATTGGGCGTCCTTGCCCGTGTCCTGTGCCTTGCTGGTGGCCTTGTCGAAATTCTTCTTCAAGTCATCTCCTGCATTCTCGGCCTTGTTTTGGAGATCTTTTCCAGCGTCTTGTGCTTTGCTAGTGGCCTTGTCGAAGTTCTTCTTCAAATCATCTCCTGCATTCTCAGCATTGGCCTGCACGTCCTTTCCAAAGCTCTGTGCTTTGTCGGTGGCTTTGTCGAAGTTCTTCTTCAAGTCATCTCCGACATTTTGCGACTTTGATCGCAGATCTTGTCCTGCGTCTTGTGCTTGGTTCGTGGCCTTGTCTGCGTTTCTCTTCAGGTTGTCTCCGGCCTTCTCAGCGCCTCCTGTCAGGTCGTCCTGTAAACAAATATCCATAAGCAACTTTAGACATAAGTGTGCCACTATCACGTCGAACACACTGCTACAAGATATACAAGCTCAAGAACAGGCCGACGACAAATTTTGGAGCTAAAGTTCATGCGTACAGAGTTTCTTCCTCACCTTCACATTCTCGGCCTGGTTCCTCAAATCTTTCCCTGACTTTTTCGCTTGGTCGCTGGCATTCTCAAACTGCTCACGTCCAGCGCTGGCTGCATCATTGGCCTTTTCCTTGACCGTCTCTGCAGTATTCTGAGCAGAACCCTTTACGTTCTCTGCAGCATCAGAGACCATTTCACCGGCTTTGTTGAATCCGCTCTTCACATTTTCTGCGGCCTTGCTTGCAGCGTCCTTCAATGAGTCCAATACACCCTGTACACAAATGTACCCATTCAAAGGTCAGCACGTGAATCTACCGAAGAGAAAACTGCAAATCACGGTAGCTCATGCAAATTTCGAGTACACAATGCGGGCAGTGCGGGCTCGAATCAAGTCTGATGTAGTATTCTTTGGAAAATTACCTGGTCTTCAGCTCTCACGGCGAAGGGCCTGGACACTTGTCTGCGGGAAACGCCGACCATCCTCAGCTGAGATCCTCCGAGATGAGCAGAGGAGCTTATTCTCACGGACCTCGACGAAGGTGCGGAGGATGCATTGCTGCATCGAAGGTTTCCTACCTGCAGGGCGGTAGCGTTCAAAGCACTGATCGATGCCATGATGAGACACTAAATTAATGGAGAGAATGGACTGCTGGCAAAGATCGAAGATGACCGACGAGATGGAGAATGATCACGTGTACGATAAATTTCGAACTCTCGAATGAAGAGGAAGGGGCGAAAGCAGAAGTAGTTGATGTAGAGAGAGGAAGGGCGCCGCTTATGTACCAATTGGCAAGGCGCAGTGGACTTCCACGTGGCTCGCGGCGGCGGTTGCTCATGCAGGATAACGTGAGTGCGCACCGGACTCAGCGCTGCCGGGTGTCGAGTTGCCACTCCGCCTACTCGATTCTGGCCTCCTCGGCGGGGCCAGCGCGGCCGACACGTGGTCACTGCGTTCAGTTCGCTGGCATGGCCATATTGCTCGAGCGAAAGTTACTACGTAACTTGTACTACGCCGTTGAGAGATTGTCCACTTTCTCCGAGGAATCAACGAGTAGGAGCTGATGACGGCTCGACTCAGATCCCATAGCTCGGGCTCCAGCGCGCTACCATTGGCTCCTCGCGCTCGAGGTCTTGGATCTTGTGCAAAATGTTTCATGGCTGAATGTTTGTGGGCATGTTCTTCTCGATTTGTTCCGGCTACGTCGGTCTTATTCGCCTAGTCTACGTACGCTTTTTGTGAGCTGCGATCGATACGCTCGCGGCCTTTTTCTCGGCATGGGTGCCCTTGACTTGATGCTGGCTGGCCCAATGTCCACATCGCGTTGGGTTTGGACTTCACTTCATCTTGAAGATATGAGAATCTGATCATTCCTCGGCAAAAGTCCTTCTAATTCGGCTGCTTTTTCGTGGCACAATCGTTCCAGTGTTCTCTTGATTTCATGTCAGAAGCCTGACGTTATTGTATGTTCCCGCTCGGAATTCAAGAGTCTGCCCTGTAAAGACGACCAACTCTCCACCAGTGAGGTTTGAGAGAATTTATCGTTTATCGCTCACTGGATGAGCGAGAACGATTGAACAGTCGGCTTTCTTCAATGATCGCTCTAAACGGCGCTATTCGTTTCAGATTGCGAGAGTGAACATTGGGCTTTTACATTTCAGAATTTATCAATATTGGACAGAAATTGTCAATTGGTATTGGGCCTTTAAAATAATGTATTAGTATGAATGATTTTGTTGATGATATGTGTAAGCTAAAATTTTGCTTTTCTGTAGGCATTTCATTTTCGCTTGAAAATTATTTTAGAGATAATTATTTCTCAGAGGTTTTCTTGACCGGAAATTTTGTTCTATGGCAGAGATATTAGTCAAGAGAAATTTTCATATTCTCATATCTAGCAGACAGAGAGATTGCTTTAGATTCAGCTGAGAGATATTTTGTACACTGCCATTTTTTAATGGTTATATATCATAATTTACCAACTGTGTAATGTGTGAAGATGTGATATGGGATAGAAAGAGCGATTTACAATCGCGCACCGCAAGTATTCTTCAAGTTTCCTCATAAGAGCGTTTACTGATATATGGTACAGCGTTTACATTCTTGTTGTTCTGTTCTCAGACGAACATGATCGATAAACTTGAACAGTTTCCCGATATCGGATCCTAGTGTCTCGTTACAGAGTTTCGAATCTACCTTACAAGTGATTAACAAACTCTAGACCTCTGTCGAGACGTTAATCAAGACAATGAGTCCATGTTATTCTCCATCAACTATTCCCAATTTCCAAAAGCCTGTACATGAAATGAGACATTGTTCACTTTCTTCTGACATCGTCGACGGAGTCCTGGGCTTTGCCTATAGCCTGATCGAACTGCTTCTTCAGACTGTCTCCGGCGTTCTTCAAATTCTGTTGCAAATCACCAGCAACATTCTGGGCCTCCTTTCCTCCCTGGTCAGCACGACTCTGGACTTTATCACCAGCATTCTCGGCTTGTCCGGTGACCTTGTCCAAGGTCTTCTTCAAACTGTCTCCGGCGTTCTTCAGGTTGGCTTGCAAGTCACTACCTACATCTTGAGCTTGGTTCGATCTCTTGTCTACAGCTTTCTCGGCTTGTCCTGTCACCTGGTCAAGTTTTTCCTTCAAGCTCTCCCCGGCATTTTGCAGGTTGGCTTGAATGCCGTTGCCGTTGCTCACGTTCCTCTTCAAGTCGTTCTCGGCGTTTTCAGCCTTTCCGATTAAGGAGTTCTGTTCAGTACAGAAGGAGATTATTTAATCGGCATTGAAGACCCAGAGAACGAAGAGAGCGTGGATCCAACCGATTAATGCTCGTCAACGTTAAAGAAGATGCACAATGCAAATGGCCCTTTGAGATCTTACCTTCAAGCTCTCGGCTTGGTCACCCAAATCTTGACTGGAGTTCTTGAAGTTGTCAACAGCCTTGTTCGCTGTCTCCTTCAACGAATCGATGACATTGCTAGGCTGTTCCGTGACAACACACACAAAATTATTAGTTCAACGGATCCAGATTACGAACACAATCTGAAACATCAGATCTGCAGCCAAAGTGTAGACCGACGAAATTCTACAAATTTGTTGGTAGTTAAAATCGTACATTATACAATATGCTTCAGTACAAGATCGTGATGGTAAAGATAATCGCAACGCATTGCATACCTCGTCTTTAGCTCTGACGACAAGTCCCCGAGAAGATCTACAACGAGGAGCAGCGGAAGTCAATCGGAACGATCCGAAGTGGGCACTTGAGCTCATCCTCGCAGTGCTGGAGCTCGTTGAAGGAAGCCCCTGGACATTGCAGACGGCCCCGATCTGCACGGCTGCGGTGTTCATTGCGCTGATGGATGCCATCGTGCTCGAAGGTTTCGGAGGCAGGAATGCTGATGTTCGAAAGTTTGAATTTGGCAAGAGTGTAATGTTAGTGCGGAAGGAAATTCAATCGAATGCAACTGGCATCGACGGGTGCAACTATATACCCATCAGTGCTGCTCAAGCCGACCACGTGTTGTTGACAAGTGGACTCCGCACGAGGATAATGCGACGCTCACCGATCAATCCACAGCGACTATGGGCAAGCGCCATGTGTCCAGACACAAAATGTTTGGCACCTGGTCCCTCGTATTGCGATGCTCCACGATACCTGTTTCGGTATCGATCGGGCTTGTCAAGCTGGCAGCGGTTGGGAGTGCTCACTGGTGCCTGTTTGGCAATCATATGTGCATGGGAAGGTGACTGACGAATAAACTTTATCGTTGTGATTGTGTGGTTTTGAACAGCTGGGAAATCTGCTACGGAGCTTTGCCCTCGTCGTCACTTTGGACACGATAGAGACAGAGAGAATATTTTGTGACGAGAGGCCCTCTACAGCTGTGACGACATTAGAACATCATTGGCTGCTGCGGGTTATAAGAGTGCCGTGCTTGCTACGTTCTGGGTTAACGCGCAGAGCGAAGGTTTATAAGAACATTCTTCTTTCTCCACAGAAGAAGATTTCCGGCAAATTTCTGGCATGACTCTGACGTGTTTCCTAACACATACGTCCTCTAAACGTTACAAAAGAAGAAGCGAGCAAGCACGCATATCGTTTGTGGAGAGACTCTTCTCTATATGTTAGACAGGAGCACTCAACAGCAGTTTTTGAAGCAGCTGTTCTCGATGCATTTCTAGATATGTCCCAAGGTTATCTGTTTTGTCTGGCATTCTGTATAGGATATCTTGGCGAAAAATTTGGTTTCATAAAAACCTCAACCTTACTGTATCTTGAAATTTCAGTCTACGATATTGAAATCGTTTTCTTCATGATACAAGTTTTTTACCATAAATTATTGTTCAAAAGCAGTAAATGATCATTTCAAGGAAGTTTATTCATAAGTAGGAAAAAGTTTAAGAGTATGTTCTAGTTTAGTTTTTTCTATTTGAATCAAATTTATACATCTAAAAAATCTAAGAAAAATTCAACTGTTTATTATTATTTAAAAAATCAATTCTTCAAGAATTTCTATTTAATTCCAGTTCATTATTAAAATATATTTTCATTATTTATTTTTTAAATAGAGTTTATTGAATCAAATTATTTCAAGAGACTAAACATCGATAACATCACCGAGTACACTTTTTTCTCTAATTTGTATTTCAATTTCTTTTCAATTTCTTTAACCTCAATTTGTAAGTAAATTAAAATACAAACTTTTTTTGTCAACAAAAAATTAATCGATTTCATTCAATGATACAAAAGCATGATGACTTTTATAAATCTTAAAGAATATAATATCTTACATTTTATATTCAATATTTCATCTGATTAGAATTTTTGCGAAATAATATTTCATTATCCAAAAGATTCATCTTCAAAATGTTGTATGAAAACCACATTATCTGTTGGTTTTTACTTTAGAATTTGTCATATGATCAATTTTACTTTTTGATACACAATTAACTAACCGCTACACACAGAATGTCAATATTCATGTTCAAATGTTCCAAGTTAAAATAGTATTGTCTCATATATATATATATATATATATATATATATATATATATATGTGTGTGTTTTTTAGAATATAGTGTGTGATCAATTCATATATGTTATCATCTTCAACTTATGTATAGATATAGATTATTTTGGTTAAAAATGTGCAGATCTCGATTCATTAATCATTTAGTCCATCAAAGATGGAGACTAGTAAGTTTTTTTCATTAATTGTTCAGCTATTTCAAGTGCAAAAAGTTTATTGTTTTTTCTCACCAAGAAAACTGAAACTAGCTATTGATCTACTATATGTCACTGTTTTCAAAGAGATATATGAGTTGATTTTTTGGTTTAATCAACTTGTCATTAGTTATATGAATATCTATTTATATGACTAAATAGATGTATCAAATAAGCATTCAGCTACTTCTATCAGATAAATATAATGGTCAAAAGAATAATGAATGGATTATCTGATATTGCAACACATATGAAACATTAGTGTATGAAGTCTTCAAATTTAGATGAAAACTTTGATTACTTGAATAAATATTAGCTTGTAAGGAGAACTTGTGAAGTGAAATTAAACATTATAGTTTCATATTGAGTCATGAATCTATGGATTTTATTCCGGCCTTCGGCCCTTGGGACCAAGAGAGTACTAGGCTTTTTCTTCTCGGCGCACCTTTGGCCCCGGATGCAGTCGCTTTTAAAAGATAATGATATCGCGTGTAGGGAATGGCTGGGGAGTGGCCTTCACTCCCCGCCCCCCTCCTTCGATGTGCAGCGAAACGCATAAAAGCTTTCTGTTTCGCGACAAAATCTATCTTCCAACTGTAAAGCCATTCCAAGAATTATATAAAATCAACTAACTGCGGAACCTCAGCCCTAGCAAAGGTATCCTCTATGGTTCGGCGTTGGATCGAAGCTCCCCCCCCCCCAGAGGACTAGGGTCTTCTAGGACAGAGCGGATCAGTGCTTTCATATATGAACATAGCAAGCTAAGTTTGATCATATGAGGTTATAGCGAAGATGATAATTCCAAAGAATAGATAGAAGAAAAGCTATAACATGTTTTAAATACTATTTTGAAGTTATTAGTCTAGTTGTACGATATAAAATTAACCAAATATTGAAATGAATTTTTCATTTGCTCGTTATATTCACATTCAAACCTCTTACAGTAGATCTTTTTGATTATGGAAAAATCATAAAATTTAAGTACTTCATCGTGAGCTCATTGAAAATCTGGCAATTTTTTCAACCACATGTTTTGAGATATTTTTTTATCACAAAGAAATTTGATTGCTCATTTGTATAAAAACAACAATTCATATCATGTGTACAAACCATTCAACACCAACCAAAGTTTTTGCATTAAAACTGGAGTTCCCTCGCTTAGCTTGGATGTATTCATAGCACAAGGTATTTCTTCAGGTATACGGACAATGTACTCGGACACACAGACATGGAGTGCACGGAGATCTGGCGAGGGGCCCGATTGACGTTGTCCGGAGATATATTTTTTTCTCCTTGAGCTTCCAAGCTTTAACTGATCTTAAATTTCATAAAAGAGAGTATGAATTATCTAAGTTTCAGCCACATAAATATTTTCTTCTATACATTCAAAAGCTATAATCAATTTTCTCACTTCAAGTATCTAGTCTATTTTTGTAACTCTAACTATGTTTATAAATTAAGTCATCAACATGACATTGAAACTCATGTAATTTGGACAAATTTATAATCTTAAAACTAGCATAGTGTTAAGGTTGTGGATTTTTAGTATGCATAATACGAATTGATAATCGTTTATCTAAAGCATAATTTTTCATGTCGAGGTTTTCAAAGATGAGTCGCATTATCATACTTCCATGATAACACAACAATAGTACTAGAGTCAAACTTAGAAGATATATTTTTGTTTCATTTTATAGATATTTCCGGAATTTTAACTTATAATATCAAAACGAATGATGCAATAGGTACAAAAATTTTAAGATTTGCTTCATAATCATGAAACATCATTCTTCAAACAATCATCAGAATAAATCAAAACTTAATCAATTCATAGATCTTTGGATTGAGAATTTTCTTACACAAATAGAAGTTTCACATAACATAGTATTTAAATTGTGACATCTCTATTTCCACAATTCTGTTGTCTTGATCTTGAGAGTGCAGTTTCATTTGAATTTGAATGTATTGGAGAAGTCATTCATCTCTAACAAAAGCCCACAGTTTACTTGAACTATTTATCTCTAGTTTGCAAAGTTTTCTTTCAAGTAATTATCTCTAGTTACTTATTTAGCTTAAACCTTGATTTTACTTCCAAATTTATTTTCCATGGTATATGATATTTGGGTTCAACTACTTCACTCGTAGTCATTGTGGCTTTCCACTTTTGGACAAACCATATTGCCTTCACTCCATAAGTCTAGCAACTTGTTTTCACATGATACCAAATAATCAGGCCTCTCTAAATACGGCACATACGGAACTTGAGGGCCAAAGTGCCGTATTTCGTTTTCAGAAAGTTCCGTATTTCCAACAAAAAGTCTTCGTTGTCTGGGTGTAGAAACTAACGGAGTCACTAAAACTAAACTAAAACTTTGGGGTGACAATTTTTGAAAAATCTTTGTTGATGTAGGAGATTTTACTAGAGATACCTACGTAAATATTGAGCTAATTCTTTGCCGTGATAGTTTGTGACAATTTCTTTGTTCATTACCGTTACTTTACTAGAAATACTAACTGAGTACTTGACTAAAACTTTGAGGCGACACCTGATGAGTTCAACCAAGTTCTAGTATTTTGTTTCCTTGTTACCTCATTCACTTGTAGCTTTGAAAACACAAAAAATTATTCAAATAGTTTTTTAAAATATCAAGAAAGTCTCACAAATTCTCGGAAACAAAAGTACAAAGATAAACTAGTGAACCTAGAACATTATGAAGTCAATATTCTAGGTGCACAAAAATCTGTTGACTGAAAAGTTTGATTCCAGGTTTTAAAAATATAATTTTTTCAACTCAGGGAATTTTTTGTAGTATTAGTTTCAACATTTTCAAACACTTCAACGGTGTGGAGAGTGATTTCTCCTTGCTAAAATGGGAAAAGTATATAAAGAGATCAAAGATAACACCCATATCTCTCGAAGTTGTATTACATTGTCAACAAATTCGGACGAAAACATGAGGGTTGAGGTCAAAATTCGACCGGAAACTGTTGAGTTCCGTATATTCCGTATTTTGATTTGAAAATTATCCTTATTTTGTTGAGATACGGAACATACGGAATCCGCCCTATATAGAGAGGCCTGCAAATAATCATAGCTATAAAACTTCTTGATTTCCACATATATATATATATATATATATATATACATACATATACATACATACACACACACACACGATAAAAGAACCAATTCCTTTAATTCCATCAAGAGAAACGATAACTTGAAATGATGAATGATTTAATGATATATTCACTCATATATCATATTTGACACATTACAATAACTTGAATCTCACTGATTGCTTAGTACTAGATTAGGCTCCAATCTTTCTTACAAAATTCCCAAATGTTTCATACTGCCTAATCCCTAACATGACTTTTCCCTTCAACAATATCTTATCGATGCAGTGCATTGTCACTAGGCTTGTTCTTTTCATAGTGAAATTATAATTCCTTCTTTTGTTAATTTTAACAGAGAAATGATCTGACCTTAAAAAATCCATGTCTCAAAGACAGCAAGATATTTCTAAAAAAATCCTGTTTACTGTATCATTTGTCTGCCTGGCCTTAAATGGTAGAGGGATGGAATCAACAACAAGAATAATTTTGGTAGGCAATCAGATTAGAAAGATTGTTGCAATGTTGAAACTGCTTTTACCCTTTCTAACCTAAGTCTACAAATGCATTCAAAACATTTATTGATGTGAACTGAGTGTACCGATCTAGTGACAATGACCAAAATCATGTAATGTTTTGGTCTTAACAAGCACCACTTAGAGAGATTGAAATGTATGCCATTGGAAGAAGAGAATTCGTATGAATATCTTTCACTGTTTGCTGAATCATGAGCGTTTCTATATCTCAATGTCTCTAAATCTGGCTTTCCATCTCTGGAACCCCAAAGTCTGTCTATATCTATGTGATCTCGGTAGTGGGTTAAGTACATGGGAATGTGGAACCACATTGTTGAAAAGAAAATAAATGGTAAATGGTAAATACAAGTGGCGGTAGGTTTTTGAGAAATCTATATTTTTTTCATTATGATTTTTTGATCTTTTTTTCCCATCCAACTGATTGTCTTTTGAGGAGGGCAGAACAACTCAGTAAGATCCGGAAACAAATAAATACGGAAAAAGAAAGGAAAACACCCGAATTGTCGACACAGTAACAACTCACTCCTTAAGGTTTTTCACTTCAGTAGCGGAGAAGAGGGTTACTTTCTCCCGAGCAATCGTGTGTCCCGTGGTAGGACACTGAGAGAATAAGCGCGAAGGACGGGAAGACCCCATCAAATCGTGCATGGTCGAATCCAGAAGATGGGGCAAACCCTAGACTTGTGTTCTAGGGTTTTATTAGGGTTCAGGGCTTCATTGAAATCTTATGGTGGCACTTCATATCTCGTCATTCAAATAGGATTCCGCTTGCTTTTCATCTCGCCTTCTTTCTTGCTCCTTCGCATGCTTCGAGTGTCAGTGAAGGGTTTTGGCACCAACTGTAGATTGATACATTCAAGGCATTGTCTGATGTCGAGGAATTCCTCTCCTACGACGATCGGGTAGTGCCAGTGTGAGATTGAAAACCTTGTAGTTAGCAGAAGATTCCGACTGAGACAACGTCCAGCACTCTAATAGACTCGAAAATGTCTGAGCCGGAATCATCTGTTGCCTGCAATCGTGGTAGTCCTGTGAAGCATTATTCTCTTAGGAAGGTAGGTTTACTATCAGTTGAATTCTTTCTTCAGTTGTGGTGGACGACTTCATACAAGCACATCGAAGGTTCTGTTTCGTTTTTATCAGATTGCGAGCCGGTCAGTTGACGTTTCCAACATGCACTCCATCTTGAGGTAGTGCTTCACTCTATCTGAAATTTCATTCGTTTCCTAGAGTACCTGGTTTCAATACAATAAAACCTCTCAGTGATGAAGACACGATGACGAGCCTGAGCTTTTGTCTCGATGGGTCATGGGCATTGGATGGCTGAAATGTTTTATTTCAGTCGTGCAATGGACTTTGATACTATCGAGGCAGCTGGCTTGCCAGTTGCCCTGATGCATAAACGAGGCATTTGTCTGAGAGAATTCACCAAGCTTTTTTCGTCTAGGTCATATACTTTAGGGTCTGTTGATCTCGCTCCATCAAAAGTATCCATCCCGACTGAGATTGACCTAAATCCATGAGAATCCGGAAGTGATGAGTTTCAATTGTCGCCCCAGTCCTAAGCATCAGCTTCGGCTCATCATGAGGATTGACTATATTTTACTCTGATCCTGCGTAATCGAAACCGAATTGTAATGACTGTTTGCGCAAAGAGCCGGACCCTGGACATTTGACTCCGTGGGTCCCTTAACCTATGGAATAAGGATGGCGATATTTTGACCATCTGACCAGGAGGAACCCTTCGAAACATGTGACAGAAATCCAAGGGTCGACACGTAGGGTTGTACACAGGGACGACAGATCAGTACTTTTGCATTTAAAAAGACCAGTCCCAGACCAGCACCCTCGAAAGTGAATTGTCGGACCCCGAATCTAGAGAGATCAATTGAATATTGATGTTACACCCCTTCAGTTTTTTACACTACCGAGCAATACGCATCCGCTAAATCCGCCACTGTCAACATGTCCAATGTATATCCATATGATATTGGAATGCTCGAATTTATTACCATGAAGTGGTATTCACGAGAATACTTTACGGGCCGAGAGTCACTCACACGGCCGGGAAACGGTGGGGAGGGGAAACTTTGAACATGTCCTAGTAGTAAAGATTGCATGTGCCATGCTTACATTGCAATCTTACATTCTGTCTCTGTTAGACGAGACTAGTGGAGATCTAGTAGAGACGTCACAAAGGATCTCTGATAGACGTGGAGATGAAGATCAAGTTCGATCAAATCTGTGAGAAATAACCGACCTTTTCTGTTTAGTTTACAGACTTCAGGGTTTGTCGAACATCTGTTATTCAACGTGACTGAGAGGTACCTAAATCCATGAGTACCCGGAAGTGATGAGTTTCAATTGTCGCCCCAGTCCTATGCATCAGCTTCGGCTGATCATGAGGATTGACTATATTTAACTCTGATCCTGCGTAATCGATACCGAATTGTAATGGCTGTTGGCGCGAAGTGCCGGTCCCTGGACATTTGACTCCGTGGGTGCAATATCCTTTCGAACAAGGATGGCGGTATTTTGACCATCTGACCAGGAGGAACCCTTCGAAACATGTGACAGAATTCCAAGGGTTGATATTGAGCTTGAAGATTAAGGGACAATACCTTTGCAATCTGAAAGACCAGTTCCGGACCAGCACCCTCAGAAGTGAATGGTCGGATAGATCAAATGATAATCTGATGTCTTGAACACTACCGAATAATACGCATCCGCTACCTTTGCCCCACTGTCACATGTCCAATGTAAGTCCATACGAAGTTTTAACGCGCGAATTCAGTACAGGAAAGTTGTACTCACGAGAATACTTAACGGGAACGATGGGGAGAGGAAACTTTCTGCTTGTCCTAGTACTAAAGATTGCATGTGCCCTGCTTAGTTACGATCTTACAAACCATCTCTACTCAAAAGATATCTGTCAGACGTGGAGATGATGATAGTCCGAATGAAAAGAGAAGTTAACCTTGACTCTCATAGCACATCGAATACTTGAGGTCCATTGGGTTCTGCTTCTCGAAAATCTGGATGCCTGTACATCTGGAACGAATCAATCAAAACAAGCGCCGGAACATCTTCCATCATTTCCCTCAAAATCACATGCCTTTTTTCGCACACACAGAAGTCTCACTTGAACGTTCGCAGACGAAAACCGATGATACTTTTGCTTTGAGGAAAGTATGTTCGCACAAGGCTGGTGGACAAAATCTTTGACTAATTCCGGGAGTTCGTTATCAAACGAGGAGAAATCTGTTGGTTGTGATGTAAAAAGACCACAATGGATGGGCAACTTCTCTTTTGAAGCAAACCATAGATGCATGCCCCCCCTCTACTGGGTAGAGATCTTCGCTGCCTCATATCATGAGTTAAAATTCCGAGTTGCAAACCAGAGAAATGCGAAGCACTTGGTGTTTAGAACGAAGAGGCAGGACGGTTCTGCGACTTTGTGGCAGGAATATTAGCTTGAAGTCAAAGGATAAGTCACTCGTCCCACCGTCCAAAACACTTCCCATGTCCTGCAGGGCTCGGCAAATTTACTCTTCGTCGTCCGAATCCTCAAAGTCAATATCGACCTTGTCATTGTAGTACATCCGGGCACTTTCGTACTGATCAGGATTCTCTTTTACTATCTGGACCATAAGAAGCCTCCGCGCCTCCCGAACCTCGAACTCCATGTCCTCCAAGGCCCAAATCTTCTCCAGCTCTTGGATCACGAGATCTTGGACGGTCGGGAAATCAGTCTGCAGCTCATCGTAGGTTTTATACTTCTTGTACCACGTGTTCTCCTGTCTCTTGTGGATCTTCTCCCATCTCAGCTCCTCCTTGGTTTTGATTTTGGGCAACCAGACCAGCGGGGGAGTGGGCTCCTCGGGCATCCTCACGTCGTCCTGCCATCCATTCTCCAGCTCCGTGTGGAGCTTCTCCAACTCCAGCTCCTCGTGAGTTTTGATTCTGGGCAACCAGACCAGCCTCGGCGTAGGCTCCTCTTCTCTCTGGTAGGTCCTCTTCCATCCATTCTCGAGCTCATCGTCTCTGGCCATCTTGGCCAGCTCCTCGCTGGTGAAAGACCTCCGGGGCCCCAATCCGAACATGGTCAGCTTGCGCTTGGTTTTGGAAGTGAAAGCCTCCCACATATTCTGCAGCTCGGTCTCCGTCTTCTCCAGGGCCAGCTCGGCCTCCGTCTTGGGCTTGACCTCCGTGCCCAAGCCTCTGGGCATCTGGACCTTGCGGATGTTCCTGACCCAGTCGAGCTCCAGCTTCCTCAACCTCTTCGCTTCCTGGAGCTCGTCCACCTTCTTCAAAGCCGCAGCACTCTTCTCGAGATTGAAATTCCACAGCGATCCTCGGTACCTCCTGACCCATCCTTTCTTCAGCGAGTTTCCTCTATACGGTTCGAGCCATCCTTTCTCCTGGCCCAAAGCGATCCTCTCCCTCTCGAGCTCGTCCTGCGTCTTGGATCGAGCTCTCCCCAGCTGATTGTACTCCCTTTTCTCCGACAGCCTCTTCTTCCATTTGACCCATCCATTGTGCATTTTGAGCTCCCTGGCCTCCTGCGCGAGCTCGTCGGGAGTCTTGGTTCTCGACCGTCCCAGCTGATTGTACTCTCGTTTGGTCGACACTCGTCTCTTCCATTCCACCCAGCCTTCCTGCAGCGTCTTGTCCCTCGCCTCCTTGGCCACCTCTTCCTCGGTTTTGGGGTGCGTGCCTCGGCCCAGAGGATTGTACTCCCTGCGCTCGGACATCCTCCGCTTGTACTTGATCCATTTCTCTTGCAGAAGCTTGGCCTTGGCCTCGGCCGCGTAATCCTCCTCCGTCTTCTCTCTATGGCCGATCCACGACGCTTGTCTGGCCAGCAGCCTCTCTTTCGCTGCTTGGATGAAGTCCTCGGGCGTTTTGCCCAGCCATGACGGCCCTCTGCGCCTGGCTATTAGATCGATTTTAAAGTCAGCTGCTCGTTTCCACGAGTCGTGCATTCCTGGGAACCAAGATCCGCGCCCCGGAGCCTTGCCAAAATTCATGATGGCCTCCGATGAACGTGAAGCAATTTATAATGTACCTTCGGCGGATCGGACTCTAAATCACTGTACAAAAAGTAGAAGACCTGAATGCGATGAAGAGCACAGGTCCAGCGAGAATTCTACGCTGTGGCGCAGGGTAACAGGAAACGAGGTGTGGCGCATTCCTCCTTCAACCGACACATGTTCCGGAGATTGCCCCTGGGGCATCGTTCCGAGCAAGGAGAGTACCAACGAGTCCAAAATTTGCTAGATCTGCTCGTACATTTCGTAGATCTTTGATTTCCACATGTTTAATTCTTCCGACTTTAATCTTGTATCCCCGTGCATTGCATCGGGCTTGGGCTCGGTTATGCATTGGCATGAGAGTACAATCGGGTTCACGTCTGTGAGGAAGTCGTGAGAACGGAAAAATGTGGATTCTTCTCGCTCTCGGAAACAAGAACGAGTAGGATTCACACAGTTTCGAAGGATCAGGGCTCCAATTTCAGCTCTTCAGTCCAGTGTAGCAATTGGCGTGTCCATCGCTCAGGACCTAGAGAGCGCACTCGCAGTACATCGCTTGACCCATCGACAGTGGGTTCCTCAATGGATTCTCCGCTTCCAAATTGACAATCGCACAAATTATGTCCTTTTCAAAACGAAATTGAACCAAGACGCTCAAAATTGGCTCTTCGATCTTCGGATCGGAGGCCTGCGACGTTCACGCTCCAGAGCTCTGTCTGTCTGCACCTGCTGCTGCCTCTCGATTCGTCCGTGGAATGAAAGCCACGTTGCGGATGAGGCTCGTGCAGTGAGAGCATGATACTCCAAGACTCCGCGATCCCAAGGACATTCGCCGTCACCAGTTCTAGATTGCCTGAATTTGTGGTCGCTGTAACATCATCGTCGAATTCGGCCGATGCGTCAATCGACATCCACACTCCTTCGACCGCGAAACAGTTCTCCGTCTGGGCTTCTTAAAGACTGCTTCTCGAGCCGGGCACGCGAAGGACTTGCTTCGTCAGCGAGCACGACCACGTCTGGAATGATTACGAAGATCGTCCGCTCCGCCGCTCCAGAAGAGCACTCTCAGCATCTGGAAATTGATGTTTCACGTGGAGGCCCCGGGCCAATGTTCACTCGCTTGCCACATTCGGGGGACCTTGAGTCTCGCTCGACTCCGTCAATTGAGCAGGTTCGCCATCATCGGGCGCTGACTGTTCGTTCGCCTGAACGTCGCGGATGTTCGAGTGCTTCGTAGATGCGCGTTACGGTAGCGGATACCTCTCAGCCCCAAGTGAAAGATGGCAGCCACATTCACGTCGTGGATCGGACCGGGAGTCGGCAAGTAGCCTCGAAATCGACAATCGATTCCCTCCAGTGGCATTTTTAATGCCCGGCATCGCGCACTACTTCAAAAACGGCAAATCGGGACGAGAGCTTCGTGGACATATGCTTCGTCCCTCTCACTATTGCGTAGCGTCGATCGCGTGCTTGGTCTCATTGTGACGGTGGTCGAGCACAGCTGCCGATTTTGTCCGCACCGGACGCGTGCAAGCGTCCAGAGATAACGAAGGGTCGGAAAGTAAAGGTGCCATAGCTTCGCATAAGAGCCAGACAGATGTTCAGCGAGATACTGTCGTGCTCCTTGCAGCATTGCCTCGTCTGTTCCTGCTCTAGTCAGAAGGACGAGATGTGGCTTTGCTTCTGCAGAGTTGGAATATAGCTTGGACTCTGTCGATGGGCATGATTCAGATACAGCCCCGTGTATTCTTCACTCATAATTCACTCGAAGTCTCGGATTGCGAAAAAAATCAAAGGTGACCTCGAGATCGGGACATTAGTTGGGGACTTGCACCGAGAGATTTGCGCTGAAAGTTCGAGAATTGCAAATGCAAGAGACGGTACTCTCAGATGGAAAACCGCGATCGTTCTGGTTTGACAAAACTGCAAGAAGAGAGTCGCTTCTCATTATAAACTTTACATATGTCACGTTAACACCTTTTGAGTTGAAAATTGAGTTCCTTAGAACGTGCACTTTCGAAGGAGGTACACCATATTTTTTTACAAATCTGACTGACAGGGAAGACTCGTTCAGATGGCTCAAACTTCACTCACTAGCCTATACCTTCCATCCTCAGCTGGGTAGCTAATACAGATCAGCAGGAGTTTCATAATGCTCGACTAATCAGATAAAACTTCTTCCCACACTGATGATTTTCGAGAAACATCGGTTCAGACGATCAGCTGCCCTCAACCCTCCATGAGATCGGAGTATGAGCTGTCGTGTGAGTGAGTGTAATAGGGGGTCGATCTCGGACTTATAACTGGTCAGGTCAGCTGACAGACCAGGGTATTGGGACAGGCAGAGAAATTTGACTGCTGCCCGCCAAGGTATCCAGCGATACATCCACAATCGGGCCGATATCAGTACCCCTTACGTTCGCTATGTACTCTGATGATGTTTCGCCAGCTATCGGGGGCCGGAAGGACCTAAGTGAGACCAGTAGAGGGGAAATCGACACTCCGCTTCAATCTGCCCGGACACTATAATATTAGAAGTACAACTCAGAGTTGGTAAACTTGGAAACAGAGGCCCAAATGGGTTGTTGCTCTGTCGCTTCTGAGATCGAGGCTTTGGCGATATGGGATGTTTGAAGCGACGTGAGGTGCTGCTGCTTGAGTATAGTCGGAGCTTATCGCCGCTTTGAGAGGACAAGTATCAAGACGCTTCTTCTGTCAAAATCACTGAGTCGCGTGTACTGTGTATGAGTTGCTCTGCCGGCTTCTCAATTTGGGCCGGCTTCTCAGTAGGCAAAATGTCACTGATAAAATCTTTCAGTTTGAGAAAACGATCATCAGATATTGAGTTAAAGGGCTTGCATATGGAAAAGTGGTCTGCGTCCATGGAGTAGTTGTGATCCGCATCGATATCTCTGCCGGAACTTTGTTTATCGAGTTTCGCACTAAGACTTCTTCCCATCTGAAATGCGGATAAGAGACATCAGTGTGCGCAGCAAGTTGAAATATCGCAAATCTAACGCTTCAATTCTTAGTAAGCATCTCGACAGTCAGTTGAGACATCTCTGAATTATCGACCAAACCTCAGGCCTCTGATGCAGATTGCTTTCGCTCGATTCTTTGCTCACTCTGGACCTTGTAAAACTCTTTCCAAAAGCCTTCGGTCAGTTCACCATTCAGCTTATGCTATTCTTCACTGTTGTTACGTGTCCCGGATCCGTCACTACGTTCAAGAATCAACGACACCCGTCCCTTCACGCTGTTTTCTCTAGGAACACACCTTGCTGTACCGAGACATCCCAAAACAGTCAAGACATCTCCTCAGAACCTCCTCATGGCCTAGTATTAGTGCTACTACAACTACTACAACAACAGGCCAAGTTCCAAGCAAGCCGAGCCAACTGCCTACCTAAACCGTGTACGATAGCGATACGCAATTACAGAGTCTTATGTCTTTCACTGTCGTACTGGCTTATTGCCTTGCTATTCACTTGCCAAGTAAGGCAAAGGCTGGCACATGGCAGCCCCTGCTATATGCTACTGTTGAGTTCCAGTTCTTCTTAGAAATTTATGGGCAATGAGAGAATCTACAGCTGCAGTATAACTTATCTGGCTTCATTCCACCGCTAGACACTCACTACCTTCGTGCTTCACGGGCCACCTTCGTTCCTTGGGCATACCATCACCTACAGCCTTGGCATACCTTTCAGAATAATATGGCAAATCCGTGAACTCCTTCATCGGAATCCAAATTTTTCCTCTCGGATTCAAGAATTCCTTGAGTTATAGCATTATTCCCTCCTCGGAAAAGACAATATTGATAAAACTTGGAACGATGGACCATTCAAAAGACCTTCAATACAGCAGAAGACTCTCACTTGCTACGCTAGCTCATGGGTGCAGCAGCTTAGTGTGTTCATGTAACAGTATCCGAAATATAATGAAATAAACTAGTATGGCTTGTGTGGACTTAGGATAATTATGGAACAGAAAATATCTTTCTCTAATATCCTAAGTCCACACAACCGGCCGCCTTTAAGACCGGAAAGTCTGATTTCCGCATTCCAGAGCTACCAGTTTCGTAACTCCCTCCTCGTACGTCGACGAAGTTCATATGTTATAGCGCTTGCGCAAACAGTTGAGATCTGCGTTCTTCTTGATCCCTGATCTCTCAGTTGTTCCAAGCTTTTGTCCATAGGTCTGACGGCCCAATTCCAAGGCCACCAAGGGTTATGTCCATGAGGTAGATTGGTCTGAAAGTCTGCCTCCCATGTGGTGTTGCGTAGAAAAATGCACCACTCAGATTGCGCATGAAATTTGTCAGCCTCATCTTCTTAGACAGAAGCAAGTCAGAGTCAAGGTTTCCACTGGCTAAGGAAGACACCATTCGCAAACAATGACTGCCGGCCATTCTCTTTCACTTACTTATCACTCTCTTCTCGACCGATCATCGAAGTTCAGTCTAGTGCCCGATGACAGTCTGGACAAATGCCCGTCCGACTCACAGCTAGCTGCACATGATATAGGTTGCTAGACTCTGAAGGATAATTCAAATGGAAGAGGAACTCGAATTAAGGCTGTCTTCCCCCCTCGCTGACTCAGCGGAAGCAATGCGATGATGATAGGATGATGCAATGCAGATCATTGACCGAAGAGCGAAGCCGCCAAAGCTATGTGCCACCAAAATCACAAGTACTCCCGGCTTCTGCCCCACATTCGGGGATGGGCATTCCATGACGCTTTTTTCCAAGGACTCTCCAACCAGCGACAGATCATATTGCTTAGAATTATTGCCTCCTGCAACAGCCGAAGAATCATACGAGATCGATAGAAGTCGAGCTCTGTCCTGGAATGCTTCAGGAAGGAAAGTTCGTATCCAGCATCGGTTTCCACATGCAGACGCCCAGTTCGCTCTGTACGGCTGCTATGGTGTCGAGTTGCGTCAGCTGCAGACCGTATAGAAATACGATTTCATACAAAACATCTCCATTTTCTGGCCTGAATAGCTCGTATACCGTATCATTCAGCTGCAGGGATAAAATGGCCGACACCGGGTGAGGACGAGGGCTTAGAAACTTAAACTAAACACTCCGTCTTCGCTGACGTCTCCATTAGCAACTAACTAGTTCAGAAGCTAGTACGCCTCGAACGAATGATTTCTTTCTTAAGAAGCCCTTCTTGAAGCTGATGAGAATTTACCTTCGCCTCAGGGTAGTATCTTCTTGTCGAGAAACCTCCTGATCTCGTAGCAAAACTATTTTGTTTTCAGAGCTGAATCGTGTAAGATGAGACGTCGTAACACAACTGCATTTTGACAGAGCTTGGCTCGCTGTCGTGCAGATGTTATACGACTGTAAGACGCAAGCTGGGCTCTGCGGCTCCTGCAGTCTGACATAGACGATGCTGCAACACATCGCTCTCAGAGGCCGCTGTCATCACCCACCATGTGAGAGGAACAGGAGTCTATGTTGGGAGAGTACTTGTACTGGACGCAGCCCTTTCTATAATTGTTTCTCACCCGTTTATGGTCTTCGGGCAGCTCGTTTGACAGGTACGTCCTAAGGAGTACATACAAACAATTACGTGACTGGCCATCCCGAGCGGACAGGCAATGATTCCATTCGCCTGAAAGTGGAATATTGGCAGGTGACACCATGCAGCACACCTTCGGTCCCACCTCGAAAAGGCTTTTTTTAATGCTCAACCTGGGTCCTCGCTCACTTGAGCCCTTGAGACCGTGACCCACCTGCGGCAGGCAACATTTTAAAGACCGTACGTCTTGTACCTCCTTGAGAAGGGAAAATATAGTTTACTCTTACTGCGAGCATCAACTCACAATGATTTGGTCCAGGTGCAAAGTGTGCCACCTCTCGAGTGACACAGTTTGATCGAGGTCAGTAAGACGCACATTTTTAGCAGCACTTCTGTCGTCAAAAGCAGCTCAAGTGGGAAGTGCTTTTATAGAAGTGTCCACCCTTTCATTCACGATTGTGCCGTTTGCAGATGGGAGAACCAAGCATGTCTCATCGTTCGGTGTTCTCTTGAGAGGCGTCAGGCAGTGAAAACATTCTCTGGTCGCGAGGTCGCGAGGGAAGAAGCGAGCGAGTGAATTTTATTCTTCTCGGTTCAAGTGCAGTAAGAATAGAAGCGAAGGAAGTTAGGAGGGCAATTACAATTATATCTATAACACCGAATTAACGGCTCGCATTCTGATGCCCTAGCTTTAATAAAGGCACTGAAATTTGCAGCGCGGGTCCACCGAGTGTCACCGGAGGGTGCTGGGCCAGTACAAGCATGTCGAAAGCGGCCGAGCCTCTCCAATGAAAGCAATGCGGGACGAGGCCCACAGTCGAAAGGCCTAGAGCATTGTGCAGAGCCGGAATATCTGGCCCTGCAGATCTCGAAGCCAGCACACGTCACACGAGTTCCGCCATGGACCCCTTCCAACTCCAGTGAGAAGTGGAACTCGACGGGCTCAAAGCCTCCAGTTCCAACTGATGATGGCCGCCGTGATTGGATTTTACAATAGAACAAAATTGTGCGTCCACATCGACAACTGCCGAGCCGCTCTGGATCCAGGTTCATCCGGATTTTATCTCAGAAAACACGGTTTATCCGTACCCTAATCATAAATAGCAAGCAAGGCACCGCTTCTCACAGGCCCTCGTTGCCCATAGAAATTCCCAGAGCTCGTGCACTTTTTGACCACGGAGACTCCGCCTACAGTTGCAGGTCCGGAACTCGCATAACTGCTGTGCTCGGGATCTACCCTTCCTGTAGCCGTCCTGTCCTGTGTGCTCGTGAGCGGATCGCAGTGGAGAAGCCCCGGGTCAAATTCATCTGCCTGCCGGTGAGAAAACCCGATTTCTGGAGTTTCTCGTCCTGTACAGCCGATGACGTTCTGTGTACGAATCTGCGGGAGAGACAGCGAGAAGAGAGAGAGCAAGAGAGACTAGAACTGCTAACTTTATCGTAGCAGGAGGAGGATCCGACGGTGTTGTGCCATACTTGAAGCACTATGCTGGCATCATGTAGGCCGGATCGAGGTTCATGAGGAGTCGAGCATGCTTCGAGTTCGAACCTTCGGGATTTTGACGCATTAAAACCTCTGCATCTTTGTTGCGTGACGTTTGTTTCCCCCCGTGTCCTCCTTCTTCCGCCCCGTTAGGGTCTGCCGGGACGTTCGACAGAATCATTCGTTGATTCATTGCTGATTGAGTGTGTGTGCGCAGCACCGTCCCGCTTCTACCTTTATTTCCTATTTGATGCTTTTTGGTTTGTTAGGTTTGGAATTTCGGCTCTGGTTTTGATTCACGACCGCCGGTATCTGAGGCACCTCGAGCAACATTCGGCCGGGAAAGCTGGTGCCGTCGTGAGCGAACGTTGACTCTTCATTCTGGTTCACATTCGCAGACAGCATCCCTTATACCGAAGGTGACTTCATGGAACCTCGATGCCCATTGTCGCATCATATTTGAAATTAGTTTCATTTCAGTGCTCCATTGTGTCCACCGGATTGAACACAGACACGATTTTTCTCGACTGCTTTTGTACCAGAGCCAGAGGAAATTCTTGGGGCTTCAGCTGCGGCAAATAATTTGCTTGAATGGGCCGTAGAGGGCTCGAAATAGTCAGCTCCTCAGAGAGTCTCGTAGAGTTCTCGAGCATCAGAATTGTATTCTTCTCTAGTCATCATGTCAGCTAGCGATAGGGTTGCCTTTACCTCATTTCGGCGGAATTTGTGCAGGCACAGGGATGACATGGTTAGATGACTACTGGCCCTCGTGGCACTCGGATGACAGTAGCGCAGCCCCGAAAGTGGAGTTCAATGGAACCAAGGTGAGTCGAAAGCGATTCAGCACCGTTCGAGTAACTCCCTGTGCTTACGACTGTTAGACATTGTGGTCTTGACTTTACTTGATTTGCTGGCAGCCCTCGAGGTAGCTGGTGTCTCTTCCTTTCCAGTGGGTAAAGATGTCTTATGGATTTTCGGTTTTCAAAACTAAATGCAGATTTCAGATTCTGTGTACGACTTGCGACCGATGGCAGAGCAGGTGGAAGACTGGGATGTAGAACTTGTTTTCTTTCATGGTCTACTTCTAGAACAGAACAAGCTGGACGAGGCCTATTTCAGAACATGGGTGACCAACACGATAGAGCCACAATGCTGGCCAGCAACGATTCTCACAAAAGATTTTCCAAAGGCTCGAGTGCTGTCGGTCAATCTCGATGGAGCTGTAAAGAAGGCGGCCCCGACAGGCCGAAACGACATGGACAATGTGGTGGAGATCCTTGTGGCAGAGCTGATAAGGAATACCAGACCTTTTGGTGCGGGCATCGGACAAACGGGAACGCCCGTAATCTTCGTGACCCATTGTTTGGGCGCGCTCGTAGCTCAGAAGCTCATCATGGAAGTGGACAAGCAGATAACTCAACGAGGTGATTTGAAGCTGAAATCTTTTTGGGACAATCTTGGAGGGGTCGTCTACTATTCGCCGCCCTTCTACGGATCAGAACAGTTTATGAAAGCCACAAATTCTATCAAATCGAAAGGCCCACTTGTATCTTTCATGGATGTCCTTTGCAAAGACAATGCCAAAATCGTACAGACCTTTGATGAACTTTTGACCTCTGAAAGGTTCAGCCCGAGCCCACGCAAATTGGTCATAAATGAATGCGATGAAACCAACAAGGCAAGTTTCTACAACTAAAGCTGGCCACTTTCACATTTTCTGGCAGTCAAAAAGTAGCCTTGGCTTAGACTGATATGCATCGTGTTTCTCACTCTTTTGCTTAGACTTCGCTAAGTCCTGTTTGACAACGTTTTTTCGTTTCAATTGCGATTATAAGGTTTCATAGAGCTCTTTTGGAAATAGAGAAGTTGCACGTTTTCCTACAAGGGCATCTTCTAGTCGACAGAGTAGAGTTTGCTTGTCGGACATGAATATTATTGAGACTAAAGTCGAGAAGCCTTTGGTTTCGACAGGGTGGTTTCAATGGCCAGGTTTCCGAGGAGGCTGCAGCAAGAACAGGAGAATTTGTGACCGTGGAAGGTGACCACTACACCGTCTGTCAGCCAGAGGATGAGACAAGCTTGAAGTATCAGCACCTGGCCAGCTTCGCTCAAGAAATCGTGCAACAGTACGTTGCTAGACACAGGCCACTCGCCCTTTCTATGGGAGGAGCTCCAGGACCGTCTTCGTTGATAAGCCAGCCAGTAGAGGCTGTGGCGAATGCTGCAAACGAGACTCAGCAGATACAGACCAAAAGCAAAACTTCTCTCGAGGATCAAGTTAAGTCCTCCCAAACCGCTGATGGTCAGGCACTTTTTAAATCAGCTTCAAAGCTGGAGATTGGAGACAAACTGCAAAACGAAGGAGCCAAAAGGTCTGGGTTGGCTGCTCAAGGTAGAAGGCTGTCGGACCTCACATTCTTTGACCGCTATGATTGAGATTCTTTTTGTGATTACAGCCACTGATCGTCACACCTTGCCTTCAATTCTGTCAATATGGTTCAATTTAACATTTGTATCCCTCTCCCCTTTCGTAACTGTCTATATGATGCACATATACATGTAGAGATTCTTTCTGTGAAAATGTGACCAACTTATTTGTAGATCCCTCTTCGCTCCACCCTGTGGCCCACTAAACTTTTGTGTATTATCTATTCCAACATCAGCTAGACTTGTGGGTCATTGCGGGCCTGCAAAAGGCTTGTCCCGAGGGCCTATTTACTGTCATGGTCAAACTGCCCTTATATGAAAAAGCCTGCGATCTTCGCTGGGCCTGGTGTCAAGATCATACAAATTGCTCTTAGAAGCTAGGTGGAACGTGTATCGGTGGTGGGTCCGTCTGTGTCTCGGAGTATTTGGCACGTGCCTCTTTAATGATCTGATGATATGAAAAGCGAGATCGATGGATGTTTGCTATGTTTGATTTGTGGCATAAACTTTTCTTTCTAATGGATTTAAATTGATTGTGAGATAGCCTGAAGTGGGTCTTCATTTCACATAATGTAGCACGTGCCTCAATTGAGCATACGTGAGATGGATCCTCCAGGGACTTAAATGTAAGTATAGACCGGTGCTTATACAGATTCATGATCACATGTGACTTACAGTACATTCATATTAATTATGCCTCAATGGATTCAAAGCTTAAATTTATAGCTGGGAGCAGTAGTTTAGTCAGCTGTATAATATTCTGATTAGTTTGACTGTCAAATAGGGTAACCAGCTGTATCCCTGAACGAAAATCGAAAGATTGGTGGATAGTAATTAGCCAATGTTATGAGTAAAAACTATTTTTACTAGTAAGTACCTATCGTAGCCTGACGACAAAAGACGCCACCTTCTTGCTGGAAAGGTGTCGAGGTTCTTGAGCACGAATATATGTAGACAACCCCATGAGGACTTTGTCTGCGCTGTGATCAATCAACGAAGGTGCAGGAAAAGTAGTGTGCCGTAGTCTTGATTGGGTGAATGCTCGTTCGTCTTGATGTGTGCAAGTTTCATCTTGTTTCGAATTCTACCTGAGAAGCAGAAGGAATCCTGATAACTTTGTAAATTCTCGAACATTGGTCACGCTTTACTTGAGGAATTGAGGAATTTGAGGATTTTCGTCTGGTATCACTTACGGAACAAATGCCGTGCCTTGTCTCCTGGAGCGCGTGTACTTGATCTAGGCGGTGGGACTTAGATCTGAGCACAGTCTAACCCAGGTCATAGATCTCGGACTATTGCCGAGTACATTGTTTCGTCACCGTGTAGTTTCGAATATTTGCCCAGCGTTAGGTTCAAGATATGGTCTGTTCATTGCGTTTCAGGATGTCTCCGTCACTATCGTAGGTTGCGAACCGTACTTCTTCGTACAAAACAGAGTAATTGGTGATTCAACATTGATTTATACGTGAGTCCTATCAATGAGTTTTAGGGGTTTCCACTGTGGGCATATTTCTTAAAAGAACTTGTGAGAATTTTTGCGAAATCACGTACTTCGGTTTTCTTGGTATGCTACTTTTCTCACACGACTTCGTGTCTCTGACCTTCTGCAAAATCAAGTTCCTGCAGGGTCCGAAGTTAGGATGGTCCTTTGTAGACAGATGCTAGATGTATTGATGATCAAATCTGCGTTATACAGTGCAGTGTCTGATTACAAAGTCTTTCAGTATATAAACAAAGAAATTCGGCAAAGGCTTCATTGGAGAGTTACAGAGGAGGAAGACTATAACCTTTCAGGAGAAATTTGTGTTGGCTATATACGTGCTAATTCGACCAAATCAAGTGCTTTGTAAAGCAGAAGTTTGGAGCGTCTCTCGCACTTTAAAGAAGATAGAGGTTCACCTATTAGTGCACACTGAAACATTCGATTCTCAGTCATACTAATTTCTTATGTGACTAAATTTGTAATCCACCATCTAGACTATTTTACCTCAACGATCCGGGTTGAAAAATCTGTTGAACCCTCTGAGCGTCGGCACGAAGAGAAAATTAGGGGATTAAGAACTATGATTGTAGAATAGCAAAATAGAAGGAAGGTGAGGAAGATTGAAGAAACTTGACATTTTACTGTTAGACTTTTACAATGAAGCACATCTAATCAATTACACCATTTAGCAACGTAATGTATATTGATTAACAAAGTAAATATTTATGACAGCTCTGTCCAAGTCGAGGCAATACTGATAAACAAAGTAAATATTTATGTCAGCTCTGTCCAACTTGTGGCAATAGAAGCTTCTAAGTGAATGTAAAATGAATGTAACCACGAAAAGTTTAAGAGCAGTTACACTTTAGGTTTAACCTCGAGAGAAATACATTTCGAAACTAGAGGACAGACATATTTGACTTGGGCATACGAAAGATTAGATTTCCAGATTGCACTGTTTAAAACCTCTTGATTTCCTGTATATTTGTGGATAATATCAAAACCAATTCATTTCCATGTGCTTTGAACATGTGTTTTCGAGGTGATCAATAACTTTCAGTAAGTGACAGATTCATTCAGCTACTGCACTTGAACATAAACATAAGACGTTTGCTAACGTGATCTCAATGATTTCCTCGCTGATATCTATACATCCAATACGGAATGGGTTCACAGCATATCAGAACTTGTGAATTAAGAGCTTTAGTTGGTCCTCACATTTTGATCTCTAGTAGCAAGTGGGTGCTCTGACCTTTCACAAAGTCAGATCAATGTTCCGAAGGTGAGTTATCTGAGGCAACGAGTGAGATGGATCCAGCACGTTTTGAACCTCTCAGGCTCGGAGGTGGGTTGACGGGGGATTATTGTCCTTCACGAGCTGACTCTTAGGTTTGATGAGAATCCTTGAAATAGAGAGTGTGAACGCAAAAGCTTGTCCATGTGTCCGTAGTGCAGCGGTTGAGATCGAGTTGATCGACGAGTGCTGTCATCTGAGAAGTCAACTCATGTGTCTATAGCGGTTTCATAGACTTGAGGAACTAGATGGTCGGCTGAAATTGAGATTCGGATAAGAATCTGTCTGTACGTAGACAAGCAAGGTAGGCATGAGTATAATCTCGGGCGAGCGAGCTTAGAATCTTGAATCCTTTTATCATGATTCGCACCGACGTCCAAAGAAGTCAACTCTAGATCCTAACAGTCTCGACCTGCTCCAACTCCTAGAAAGGGGATGTAAGCACTTAACCAAGACAACTTCTTCATCGGATGACCATTTCTTCAAATGTGCATCTGAATTCTCGCTTCTGGAGTACACAAACTGTGAGAATTGCTCAATATGATTCGCAAGTCTCTACGTAGACAGCACGCTAAGTAGGCCTGAGTATAATCTCGGGTGAGCGAGCTTAGAGTCTTGAATCCTTTTATCATGATTCGCACCGACGTACAAAGAAGTCAACTCTAGATCCTAACAGTCTAGACCCGCTCCAACTTGTAGGAAGGGGATGTAAGCACTTAACCGAGATAAATTCCTCATCAAGTGACCATTTATTCAAATGTGCATCCGTCTTCTCGCTTCTCGAGTACACAAACTGTGAGAATTGCTCAAAATTTAGCAAGCATTGGGAGAGTTGCTTGCTTTTCTCAAGACTCCCATTATTTCCGTTGTTTTTGGAGGCAAGAAACTATGGAAGCCACTTTCAAGTTGGGGCTTGCCTCAAAACGGACGTTTGACATCAACACATGATCCCTCCGATGAGTTGCGGACAGAGGAGCATGCCAGTGAAGAGCTATTTGAGGTACTACGCTCATGCCCAGGCCTATGTACATTAGATATTCTAAAAATAGATGCCTAATATCACTCATTTCAAATCTATTGAATGTCTAATCTCTCAATTATTTTTCGAGTAGTTTTAGGAAGAAAAATTTCCAAATTGCTAAATAGCAAAATCATCGAACGTAGTAGTAGATTTCGTAAGTAGATTGGATTCAATGTTTCCATATACAATGTTTGTTGAGAGTGACTTCTCAATGTTGAAATCTAAAAAGAACAATTTTAACAAGTCACTTATTGATTTTTCTCTATAAGTATTTTTCCAATGTAAACAGTATGATATGTTATACACCTTGAAACAATAAAACAAGGAGTATGATATGTTGCGCACCTTGAAGCAATAAAATAGAGAGATAATGTTTTTTGAAAGAATTCTTGCTTAAGATACATGCAAGAACCATTCTCGTGTCTCAAATATGCTATTTGTTACGATAATTCATAGAGACCGAGAAAATAAAAGCCATTCAGATAATGGTGATTGTACACAGACAAGATACATACTAGAAGATTTACTTTAGTGTATCAAGCTGAAGCCCCGAACTTGGGATTTGGACAAATGGGAAAAAATAGATACACCCGCCTGAATAAGGGGTTGAGAGAAATTTATTTAAATAGGAAAGGTTTTATGTTTTTTTTTTGAGAAATTTTGGTTGAATTTGATAAAATAAATTTCGCTTAAAATTATTTTTCTATAAGATCTTGCTAAAATTGAATCACTACTATGTGAAATTCAATTAAAATCGATAGAATGTTAATCTCGGATCTTTATTTAATTGATGCTAATCGTGCCTAATTTCATTGTGTCTAATATACTTAGATTAGGCACAAACAGTCATATGCCTAATCTACACAGGCCTGAACTGGACATCCTCCACATCGATTCTGCGATTGGTAGCGACATCCACTAGATTGAATTCGCTTCTAGTCATCCTATCTCGACTGGAGGTCAGCATCATCCATGACTGTTGACCTTATATTTCTTACTGGCTTGAACTGGGGTCCGTCTGCGAATTCTGGGGTTTGGCTCGATTTGTTATCTTCTGTTGTCGTGTAGTGCAACTGGATGGTGGAACGGAGTTGGAGCTTAAGTGAAACTCTCGCCAGAATATTGTGAATAGACGAACAAGTTGAGGCACAGAAATATGTATTCAAGTAGGCAGGAGATAATCATGACAGTTTACCACGTTTCAAACACCCCACATGCCGCACGATTCGGCACTTTGGTTTCAGAGATAAACCAAATACACCATAGAGAGTGAGTTATTGCTGGTGGAATGTCTTTGAGCTGGAAAGTTGACCAGTGAAACTCAGGCTCCGTAAGATGGAACGTAGATGGTTGACTTAAATCCAGAACACAAAATGCATCACTTTTCATCCTCATGACATTTCATACAATCTGCTGGTCCACGAGAATTTTACGCGTTAGCTGAGTTAGGTTATTCTGGACTCACTCCTCTATTGCGGATGTCAAGGCAGAAGTGAGAGATGAAGTGGCACTTTAAAAACGAGATATAATGTAGTGCTGTAGTAAAAGAAAGTCGAAGATACGGTATCTCGTAT